TTGATTTTTAGCTAATCCTAAGCTTGTTTTTTTTTGGACGGCTTGGCATGTTGGCCCACCAATTCTACATATTAGTGCACCAGCTCATTTGAGTATTGCCAACGAAAGTGCTGATGAGGTGGATTTTCTTTTGGGAGAACTTCTTGTTTTTTCGGGGCTGTTGGAGCAGTGTTTGGATCATAGGGTTATGAGGCGAGGACGGGGAAGCTCCGTTGGGCATTGCAGAAATGGGCCCAACTTTATAGGTCCTAGCGCAAAGCTTAGGCCCATAAGATTAATTAATGGTTTCAACCAACAAGCACATGGGGCTGCTTTCCGTTCGATTCACGGCTTGTGCATGCCCAGACTCCCTCCAACACTATATACAAACTAAAAAGCAGAGGCAGAGGTAGGCTCATGAAGGAATTCACGTTCCTCCTAATCCCATGCCCCTCCTCTTTTGTTTCTCCCTCCTCATCATTAAATATTTGGTGTTGCTTCTTTCTTTTTTTATATGCAATACTTCATTGGTTTTTTTTGGGGGGTGGATAATTTAATTAACCGATCCTAATTATAAGAGCCAGTTGATTAATTTGAGGAGATTAAGGAAATAAATTGAGTTAGTTATTTGTCCTAAATAGGTATTGTCTTTTCTAAAATATCCTTGCTAATCAAGTATATTGACTAGAACTATTATTGTTAGAAGGGCTATTTTGAAAGGAAAAAAATTATAAGAGACAAAATGGATTGGGTTCTCATATTTAAGACCAAAATAAATATTGAAGAGAGTCTTATATTAAGGACTGGAGGTAATACATCAGTTGCTGCATTGGAAGCAGTTGGTGTGGGCGACGTTAAGTTAGTTGTGATGAATGAGAATTAAGCAGACGCCAACATGCAGACGTATGCATATGTGTCCTGCTTTGGTTTTTTTTAAAGTTGTACTAAAAGGGGAGTGTGTGTGACTGTGTGCACGAGACGCACTCCCGTCTCATACACCAACCATATGAGCGTTTGTCAGAAAAAGCCAGTGCCCCCCCCCCCCCAAAATGAATTCCTTAACTCTGGCTCCCCTTTCCTCCTCAACCGTTTCCACCATCATCATTATCATTTTCTTCGCAGACCTATTAGTCTGATAAAAATATTAACTTTGAATGATCTGAATTTCTCCCAAAAATAAGGATGATAATTGAAGAGAAAATATAACAAATTAAAAGTCCGTGAAAGAGAACCCATTTTAGATACTAGAGTGATATAGAAGGGATGAAACCCCCCACCCCCCCAAAAAAAAGAATTTCCTGCTATACGAGTTATTTTCCTGCATTTATTTTTTGGGGGGCATGAATTTTGGAGTTGCCCATTTGGTCATCATCATAATCATAAATTTCCGCAAATCCTCCACCGTCATCCTCTTTAATTTCCCTGTCCAAATGCAAAATCCCAGCGTGTGGCCCTCTATATAAACTTGCGCTTCAAATCAAATCATCATCCTCATAGCCGCTTTTTTCGCTTTGGTCCTTCCTTCCCACTCACGCCCTCCGTCCCTTCCATGGAATTTCGTAACGTCACAGTCCACAAAGCCTGTGCTCTCAGAAGCCACCATACGAAGCGAGTGCTGGCACAGGCCTTGCGCTTCCTTAACCTCTGTCTCGTTCTCTTCCTCCTCTCTCGCTCCTCTTGCTTTCGTGCCGTCCTCTTCCACTCCTTCGCTCTCTTTGCCTCCCTCTTCCACCACCCCTTCTATGTCTTCCTCCTCCAAAATCTCATTATATTCCTCATCTTCGCTCTCTCTCACAGAAACCACCATTTCCCCCACACCCACCACAGGCACCCTCGCCTCCACGCAACCGCCGATTCTCAGACTCCCGACCCTTCTCCACCTCACACACAAACACTGTGCTCCCAACTTGTTCTGTCTCCGGTTCCTGCGCTCGCTGAAAAACCAAGGCCAACAAGGTCTGAGACAACGTTAACGATGAGGGGCAACAAGGTCTCTAATAATAATAGCGACTGTTATCGGAGAGTCCGGTCGGAGAATCTTTCGGGTAGGATTGTGGTGGGTGGGAGGCCGGGGTTGAACGGACTGAACGCGGTTGGAAGATATGGAGGAGAACTGGGGAGGCGCTTGTGCTCTGTGGATAAGTTGAGCAAGGAGGATTTTAACCGCACCGTAGAGGAATACATCGCTAAGCACAGGAGGATGCTGTGGCAAGAGCATAAGGAATAGCAGACTCTTCGGCACTAACACCCAAAATACTCTTCCTCTTTTTCCCTTTTAATGCTCAACATTGTATGAGAATATATATTTTATATACGGTTGGAAATTAAGTAATCGTAAGATTAGGATAACGCATGCATATATCTTGATTTTCCGATTAGCTTTTTCTGGTGATTTTCATCGACTAATGGCAATGTACAGCAATTAATCCCAATTCTGTGGACTCTAGTTTGAGTTTTTCAATAACTCCAAGGTCTTTGTGCGTGTTCGACACAACACCGGGTAACTGAAAACAACCTCGAAATACCAGTCGAACTAAACCACCGGATGACCACAGACCACTTTTGTACAGTATTAATTCAGCATTATTCATGCATGCAATGCGAAATTCCGTAACCTTAGATGATTATTCCCAGTTGGCTTTGTGCTTAATTTATCTTTGGCTCTTCTCCCTCCCTTTGGTTCGGGCTTTCAGACGACAGAACATTTCGTTTGTTGACTGAGGGAAATGAATTAGGAACAATTATTTTGAAGGGCTCTTTGATAATACCTTTGCGCGCCCATTACAGCCTTGGAGGTTCGACGCGATGATAATGGCCTAAAAACGAAATGGGAATCAAAGCTAGATTAAGACACGTCACTTTTTATTGGAACTCAAAATATTAGATGGGATTTTGCAGCTGATTGATTATATTGAGATCGTAAAGAAGTTGTGGCCTGGGCGGCGATGGCTATCTTCTGCGAGAGGGAAAGTTGGGCAAATAAAGGAGTCGTAAAATATTCACGCTTTCAAACTGCTCAAGTCCAACCACCAATCTTAAGTGATCTTTACATCCATTTGCCCAAGCAATAATATTCTTCTGACCGGAAAAAATATATATATTAACTTCGTTCGTCATATATAGATATATACGCTTTAACCAAACCGCCATAATTATCCTTCAGCGACTTTTGCAACTTCCCTTTTAAGGTGTTCACTGGATGTACATAAATGATCGAGAGTGGCACAACTATTATGTATGACCGGTCAATGGTCATTGGTTGATGGGGATGAAGCATGAAGCACAGGGCAGAAAATAAAAGGGCGGTTAGATTAGATGTGAGGAAAATTTGGAATTACAAAAATTGCAGAGTAGTTGCTTGTCAATATTATGAAAAGCAATCCTAAAATTAGCCGACCATGTTTTTGTCTTCCAATTCTTGTCCACCTTTTTCTCTGTTTCCTATTTCTCTGCATGGGGGTCCCCTTTGATTGAAAGATCGAAAAATGGATATAAACAGATATTTTCTAGCATATCACCACTAGTTTATGTTAAGGAAAGAGCTGGCTGCTGGAGATGCTTGACACGGTCGTTTTTGTGGTTGCAGAACTTTTCTTCCACGTCCGTCCCCAGGGAACCAGCCCTATGGGGCTTCTAAAATTGAGGTATGCCTTTAAATCTTAGAATAAACATAAATCGACCAGTCAGCTGTCTCCAATACTCGTGACATATAAAATTTATTCACTTTTTTTTCAAAGAAAGAAAAAAAATCTTAGAACAAGCAAGCCCGATGTCACATGCTTCAGTCACATGACCAATCAATGGGGATGGTCGTGGTCCCCGCCCTGGTCCGGCTTTCTCTTTTTATCCAGAAAATATATACTCTAGTTGATGTTCGCTGCCTTGAACTGTAAGTTCCGTTAAGTGTGTGTGTGTGTGTGTGTGTTTGTGTTGGCGCGGCATATCCCAATTGGGTCTATTACCAGTTGTACAATAATATCGTGCTGTTAACAACTACTCAATTGCATCACGTATTGAAAAGCGAAATTGAACTGATCTGAATCCAAAGTACTTTATTAGAGATCGACATAGTATTATTGGATCGGGTAATTAAACCTTAATCAATTATAGTTTTGTCTGCTCGTCCTCCTCTGATGTCACTAGCTGTCGTTTGTCCTAATGGGTTCCGTCTTCTAGCCCTTTTTTTTTTTAATAAAAAAAACATAAATAAATCGGTTGCAAGTTGAAACACGTACCATTATACTACTAATTATTTTTATCTCTACCAAACCACACACAACTGCTCCCTCAAAATTTTTGATCATGTCCTGCTCTATGCCCGCTGATACCTCTCTCTGTGTCAACCTTGCTAACGATTTCTTATAATATAATCAATATCTTTCATTTCCCACCCATTATACTCTGGGCGAGCCACTGGATTGCCCTGTCTCGAGTCTCGACCCCATAGAATAACTAACAGAGATAAAATTAATAATGAAGCTGCAACAACTTGTTCGTAAAACAGATAAGATTTAAAAAAAAAAAAAAATACCGACTCTAGTCGCTTTATGTTTTCTGGGGCATTCATGTTGCTCATATGTTAATTTGGCTTGAATTAATAATCTATGGGTTTGTTTGAAACAAGTTCCCGGCCGTCGCTGTTCTGTTTATATATCACTCTTTTAACGCTCAAAAAGGCGTTACGGTGGTGCTGGTGAGTGACGTTGATGGTAATTAATTGATAAAAGAGCTTCCTTCAATGATTTTAGCATATCCATTATCCAGATACAGGTGGTCCAAGAAAGCAGGTGGTCCGTGATGAATATCCACAACATTTAAAAACACTTCAATCTATATGTATATATGTTTATGATTTCTGTGAGTTTTATAACAGCAATTGTGTTGGGATGGCTTTTAATTAAATGAACATGACTGCAGTTGTTTGAAAAACGCGGACAGAAGCTAAGCACTCACTAAAGAACCAGAAAGGTATCACTTAAAAACAGAAGGGGACAAAAAAGTAGTAAATACGTTCTCTTATGAACAGAAAAATGTGAAGCTGGCTGAAACTTACTATTACTGATGATTTACCCAGATAAATAATTGCAATATTACAAGACAGGGGATTATATGGTTATTTGAAACTTAGATCGTTTTTTTTTTTTCTCGGGATATATATGCTGATAAACAAGTACTCCTCCGGTCCTTAATATAGGACCCAATTGGTGAGTTGGTTTTGGTCCTAAATATAAGACCCATTTCTCATATTTATCAATTTTCTCTAAATTACCCTTATGGATACTCCTTCAACTATAACCAAATAGAAGAGGAAGATGAGGTATTAAAAAATATGATTATGGTATTTTAGGAAAAACGTGTCATATTTTTTATAATTAACTAACTTACCTAACTTCTTTAATCTAATCAAATTAATTAAATGGGTCTTATATTAAGGATCGGAGGAGTATATAAATATAATCCCCCTTGGAAAATGCCACATCCTATCAAGTAGTTTTGTTCATGTCCTTAATTGACGTCAAGCGAACCGGACAGCCGCTTCTTAGTTTTGAAAAGAGTGCCCATTTCTCGATACTTGAGTCAGAATCAATGACCTTCCACCTGGGTACATGCACACGTTGTATCAACGGAATCGGTCATTCTGATGATTATGTGGCTTCTTTATGAGCTTGTAGCACAGAAGAATCAGCATTTCGACGAGGAGCAGATAGAAAGGAAATTATACTGACTTGTAAGTTGTGGTGAGACGATGGAGAAACACCAGCATCATGGCTTTAGCCATGTTCTTCCCAAGGCATGACCTTCCGCCCACCCCAAATGGTAAGAAGCCGTGTGTCTTTGACTTGGCCTGTTGTTGAATTAAGAGCAACGTAACTCAATTCTGATCCGTGTCTTTTGAATAATATTGATCTCTGACAGTTAAAATTAATTGGTGAGGCGGCCTTACATGAAACCTTGAAGGATTGAAAACGTCCGGATCATTGTACACGGTTGGGTCGAAGTGTATTGATCTGGCATCGATGTTCACGTTCCACCCTTTCTTGATTTTAAATCCTGCGTATTCCCATAAAATGCTCGTTACAGGCATGTATATGTACATGAGTTGTTTCTTTCAAGTTGTACATAATAAAGAAGCAGATTGAAGTCAGATGAGGTTATAAAGTGCCTTCAATCTCGCAGTCCTCCAGTGCCACTCTTGGGAACCACTGAACAACAGATGCCATCCTTAACGCTTCTTTTACCACCTGTTTGACAGGAAAATTAATTTGTCATGCCCATTCATATTAAAATATTGCCCACAATCTACCACTAGTCACTGCTCACCTTGGAGGCGAATGGCATCTTATTAAGATCCTCCAGTGTAAGATGCGTGCTCTCGAGTCTTTTCGCAATTTGAAGCTGCTCCTTCTGCTTGATTCATAAAATACCCAATAATATATCTAATCTATGGAGCGGTGAACCAATTTGGTAAAAATTCCCCTTGATTTGTTCAGCTATGAAAATGAAAGACTGACCGTTAGATTATTAAGAACTTTCTGATTCTCACCCACGAATTTGACCATCCATGTAATTGCATTGGCTGTCGTGTCCTGACCTGCAATTGCAATCTTAAGGAAAACTCATGCTCCATGGTTTTTGGGATTTGAAATGTAGAGTTGGCTCATTTCTGCAGCTCAATTAACTAAATCCTTGTTTCACAGTCTTACCAGCGATTACCATGGTCAATATGTTATCTCGGATCTCCTCATCTGTTAGCCTTCTCACTTCTTGCCCATTAGGGCTGAGTAATGGGCGGGGTTGGCTAACCCGAAGGTTAGCCCATAGCCCGCCCATTTATTCATAAATGGGCATGGGCTAACCCATAACCCGGTAGTAGCCCATTTAGCCCGTATTAAATGGGTTACGGGGCAGCCCGTTTGGGCTAAATGGGTTATGGGGCAGCCCGTTTGGGCTAACCGGGTTACGGGGTAACCCATTTATTTTTTTTAAATTTTTTTCAGTATAGTTATTTTTTATATGTAACCTTATGAAGCTGTCAATAAATTTTGCATGCCAAATAGCAAATTAAATATGAAATAACATCAATCATATTCAATCACACAACCTCACTTAGATTTGCAAACAATCAAAGTATGATAAAATCATAAAAGTAGTCACCAATCATAAAGTCTCATAAACATTGAAAGTTCCAACTTTCACCTAAAGGATAAAATAAAAGCTTAGACAAGCATGAAGGTTTGATAAAAGATGAATGAGAAACAATATCATCAATTAAATGAAGAATAAAAATATTTTTAAAAAATTAAAACTTAAACGGGCGGATATGGGCAGCCCAATACCTTGCCCATAGCCCAACCCGTTTAATGGGCTACCCTGCCCATTTAAGCCCGCCCGTTTATAATCTCTTATTTGGGCTAATTGGGCTGGTTTAAATGGGCAAAAATTTCATGGGTCATGGGCGGGCTAGCGGGTAATGGGTTTGTTGCTCACCCCTATTGCCCATTCAATTTATCGTCATTTCCTGCTAAAAGCCGTTGAAGAAAATCTTGATGACCCCAGGCCGATCCGCTTCTCCTTTCATTCATCGCCTTCTCTAATGTGTCCATGATTCTTTTTCTAGCCTGTATCAATTTTGACAGAGTCAAACGGATTACTCTCCAAAGTTGATGACCCAGGTTGTTGGGCTTTAATTAGTTTTCGTGATTTTGAAGGGGAGGGAGGCTCGTTTGCAGGGATGGGCCTGGGACACTGTTTCTTGTTCTTGAGGGACCAACAAGAGGACATTTGGTGCTGTACCCAAAAACATGAAAAAAGAGGACATTTAGTGAGTAAGAAGCCCATTAGAGAAAGGATATTCACCTGAAGGCCCTTATAGAATCTGGTCCCCTTGAACCTTAGAGGAAAGGCAAGCATTGCTTCACACACGCGACCCACCTCTCTCTGCATCGTCTCCAATTCATACCCGCTCTCAATGCTCATCAACATTTTGCACATCGCTTTACAAGTTATCTGCCGCGCACAAATTAGATTAAATCCTCCAGATTGATGAGCATAACGGGCTTGGCCCACCCTCAACTTGATCCCTTCGCGAAAAAGCATGAAATTAGAATTCCGGCGCACGTGCGTACCTGGAGAGCTTCCTGTTGAATGACGACGGCGCCGTGATGTGGCCAGCCATTGAAGGCGTCAACGACCAGTTGATCGAAGTGTGTAACGAAGGAGGCGAGAGAGACAGTTGAGAAGAGGCACAGGAGATGGGCCCGGATGAGTCTGTGATGGCTGTGAGAAGCACAGAGCAGGCTCTCAGGTCCGACCAGTTCGGCTATTGACTTTATGTACCTCTTTGAGAATCTCCCAGCGTCGTTGTTGAGTATCGCTTTTGCCGATTCCATGCTCGACATAAAAACGTGGGTCTCCCCAAATAACTTGGTCTCGAAGCATCTCCCATATCTGCCACACACCTCTACTCCACTTCAGTGTCTGTAACTATCATGTTTCTCATATACATAGAATATTTCGAAAACATTGGTAAACGTGTCTCAGATCGATGGGTTCCTAATTAATTACCTCCCCGTCTATTTCACAATAAGGTGAACCAAATTTCAACCTTGGCGATCCGTTATCAACAATCATCAATCAATATATTTAAAACATACAAGTAGATATATGCTTTCACATTTTTTGTTTTGTTTTTGGGGATGGATATCGTGGTTGTGAAGTTACCGGAGGCGACGAGATCGGACGAATTCATAGACTCCTTGTGGGCTATTAATGGCGGCCATGAAATGCAGAGTTTCTCCCACAATGGGAAGTCCTCGGTTTCCTGGAAAAATCCCCCCTCCTGACTTGCTATTGTACCATAGTTTCCACGCTCTACGACATAATGTAACAATAACAACGGCAGCAGCAAAGATGCCCCAGTCATAACAAATCATTGGGAGCCCCTGAACCAGATGGCCAAACATCTCTTTGTTCTTGTTACCGACTAACTTCATCATCTCCTCCCATATATATTAGTAGATTTATAAGCATTTCCCATGTTGTTTGATTTCTTGCGGGATTGATAAATGCAAGAGGGAGATACGTGTGCGGTTTAGAACAACAAAAGTGCGTAAACATGGCCGACAGGCAATGATTAAGGTGAATCATGAAACTTCGAGGCTAGCTCTCCTTTCCACTTGATGAAGTGGTAGAATACGTAAGCCCTTCCCAATAAGTCCCAACATCAGCCGCAAATTCTTTATTCCCACTTCTTCAATATAATATCCGTCCAATCTAGTTGGGTTTTTGCCCCTTCGGCTGCTGATACAAACAGCATGAACGTCGCAGTTTATTTAAAACAATTCAATTCAGTTTATTCAATATTGCTTAAAAGCCTATATAAGAATAACAAAGACAAATAAAGCGTGTGAAAAGAAATATTGTGCCTGAAATCATTAGTATTAGCACCTTCTCCTTTTGGTTAGGTCCTTGGGTTGGAATGAATCTTGTTTGTGGGGTTAGAACTGTTAGCTCTGTGATGCATAGACATAAAGAGATTCTGCATTATGATCATGTGGAGTCCATTGTGGAGGGGTAGAGAGAAACAGACGACGATATAGCTGCCCCAAATAGTGATAGTGATGCGGGGGATCGGAGCCCCATTCTCGTTGTTATTATTACTAAGTCCGGTTCTTAATATAAGAATTAGCTAGTTGACTAATTTAAGTAGATTAAGAAAATTTGTTAAATTAGGTATTTGTATTAAATATGTATCATCTTCCTTATAATACCCTTGCTAATTATGTATATTAGGTAGAATTACCATTTGATAGAATCTTTAATATATGTAACTATTACAAGAATTACTTTGAGAAAAATAGATAAACATAAAAGACAAAATGAATTGGGATTTTATATTTAGGATCAAATTATAACAATAACTTTATAAGCTTTTATGTTGTTAAGGACTGAAGCTAATATTATTTTGTAGAGACGAGATATGCATGTAGTCGAGGGTGGTCCTCTCCCGTGACTCAAAGGAAACAAATTAAATCACTCAACACCACCATGAGTGGAACGGCAAGAAAAGCAAAGGTGCATAATAATGCAGGTCCAATAATTATGAACCATTTGAAACACGGATTTCCCAATACGACATGTGCACAGTGCACGTTATAAACGGAGGGCCGGGGCAAGATTACGACTTTTGAAATGACCCTACGGTGTTGGGGTCCTTGGTTGGTGCAGAAACAAGGAAGAGTCAGGCTTGCTTGACGAGGGAAACGGTCAGGTTGATGTATTTGGCGGAGGTGTGGGACAGGTGGCGGTCCACAAGCCGAGCGTAGGCTTGGAACAGCCTGTCCATGACGTGGGTTCCGAATTGGGATTCCAGCATGGACTCAACCACCGCCCTCACGGTTCGAGCCACCCGCTCTCCTCTGGACGCCGCCCCCGTTAGACCTCCGCCGTCCCAGTCGATCTCGCGCGCCTCCTCCCTCTCCATCACGAACGATCCTTCCTTCTCCAACGCCGATTTCAACTCTTGCATGCACGGAGCATAGTAGGGAACGTCGAACGAGTCCACCCTCTCCTCTTGAATCAAACCCTGCATGCGCACGCCATCAATTATATAACAGGCAGGTCATCATGAAGCGTGAGTGGCAAGAGATGAGCAGATAAGGACGACAACGTACTTGTGAGGCGAGCGACATTAGGGCTTGGGCCAAGAGCTCCCACTGATAGCAACTGTGAGGAGTGGTGGGATCGGAGGAGTCCCTACCAATGAGGGAAAGAACCATGCGCCCTCCCGTAACCATCTCCCGAGAACGTGACTTGAGGAACGCTGAAAAGTCATTGTGGAATTGCCTTGAATACGCCTCCAGCACGCTCCTCGGACTGCCCTCCGATATGTATATCTTTCCCTTGTTCACCGCTCTCCCTTCCTCCTCCAACCCCGCTGGAACCTGCCTTATTCCACTTTTCTTCTCATTTCACCTCTCGTAATAACATATAAAAAAGGAATACAATCTAGATTTCAAATTTTACACATGCCTTTAATTTCCTTTTAAATCCTTTTAATTTGTTGTTAATTTGGGTGAGTCGTACGTGGGGTGCGAGTAGTGACTGATGAATAATTCAGTGGGCTTTTGTTACGAGTTAGGACCACAGAACTTAGTATTTTAGTACTTGGGGTAATGCAGCGGGTGGGTCACTTGTGTCTTGACCATACAAATCACGGGGACCGTATTTTCAAATTTTGACGTTGACGTAACCTGAAACAGTTGCAATGCTCTTTTTCCACTCAATTTATGTCATAAAAGTCTACACACTGTGCTTATATGTAGTGCACCATGTTTCGATGTCATTATTTTTTTTAAAACAAGAAGTTAATTAAAATTGTGTGCGTCGTGAGTGTGTGTTAAGTATTAGAAAAATAATTTATGTTTTATCTGGTGTGTGTTAGGAGATTATAGATTAGATGATGGTATAGTTACGTGCCTGAGAAAGCCAGTGGAGGCTAGAAGAAGAGTGAACAAAGTGGAGGCTGTTGGCCGGGAAGAGTGGACCGTAGAAAGAGCCAGGCACCCCAAAAATAAAACACGGCCCCATCTTGCTCGCTCCACCTTGCCTCAGTTTTCTGTAGAAACCAGGTAATGAGGCGAAGATGTTGTTGAAGTCATTGGTGAAGAGGTCATTCAGATACACCCTTATCTCCGGGCATGGCCTCCCGAGGTGGCGCGTGGTGGCGCCCACGGTGGCAAGTATGTCGGAGATGACGAGCAAGGTGTTGGGTCCGGAGGAGCAGCCGAGGTCGGCGATGCCCATGCTATCGACGCAATTGGAGCACAGGGTTTTAACGATGGCTTCCTCTGTTGCCGCCTTGGAGACGGAGATAATGGTGTTCTACGACATAGAAAGGACAATGATTATGGTGTTCTACGACATAGAAAGGACAATGATTAACTTAAATCTAGGAGAGAATTAAAGAATGGGTAAAGACGCAACGCGTGAATTAATCTGGAAGAGCATTAAAGGTGAACCTGAACGGTGGAGTTCATAGCATAGCTAGTGTCCCCAGCTCCTTTGTTCATGCGAAGGACTTGCTCGACCTGCATGTCTTGTTCTGGAGAGATGACAGAGAAGCCACTACTGATGCTCAATTATATTAATTGATGCTTCGCCTAAAGCTCTGGCCTCTCCATATATATATATATATATATATATATATAGTCTGCCTCGTGTTAATTACCTAGACCAATACCTACAGCAATGTTTTCAAAACTGGACCGGACCGGATGGTTTGACCGGTCTGGTTGTCAATCGAAGATGAGGGCGACTCGAGTCATGCTTGAAAACCATCTTTGATGTTAAGCCGTTTTGAGCCGGGATAAGCCGACTTTTGAACCGGAAACCGCTATTAGCTCAGGAACCAGAACGGTTTTGGAATAACCAGTCAGCCCAAGTTCTGCTTAAAATAACAGTCACTGGAGATGAAGAAGAGAGACGGACGAATAAAAAAGAGAAAGGAAGAGAAAGAAAACACAAAATTGAGTTCATCTTTTTCTAGAACTCGAAAAACGTGTTGTCAAGAAATAATATATCATATTATCCGCTGATTTTACTTTTTTGTTCTTTTTTTTTTTGGTGAATTCTGTTTTTTTTTAGTTATATTTAGACATCTTGCAAACAAAATGTGTTTTTGACCGGTTTTTTTTTTCTGATTTGGTTTTTTTACCAAGACCGTCTTTGCTTTTTTCACTCTTACAATGTTATTATATCTTTTTATAATAGGATATTCTCACACATGTTGAAATATTTGAAGTGCTAAACATTTTTCATACTATCTCATTTTTTATTTTACATATGTTATAATCAGTGTTTTCAGAACCGGACTAGACCGAACGGTTCGACCGGTCTGGCTATCAACCGGAGATGAGGGCGGCTTGAGCCATGCTTGAAAACCATCTTTGATGTTAACCTGTTTTGAGCTGGGATAAGCCGGCTTTTGAACCAGAAACTGCTATTAGCTCGGGAACTAGAATGGTTTTGGAATAATCGGCCAGCCCAAGTTCTGCTTAAAATAACAGTCACCGGAGATAAAGAAGAAAGACGGACGAAGAAGAAAGAGAAGGGAAGAGGAAGAAAACGCAAATGAGTTTATCTTTTTCTAGAACTCAAAAAACATGTTGTCATTAAAGAAATAACATATTATATTATCCACGTTTTTGTTGACTTTACTCTTTCGCTTTTGCTCTTTTTTGTTCTTTTTTTTTTGGTGAATTCTGTCTTTTTTAGTTATATTTAGACATCTTGCAAACAAAATGTGTTTTTAACCGGTTTTTTTTCAAATTTGTTTTTTTTACCAAGACTGTCTTTGCTTTTTTCACTCTTACAATGTTATTATATCTTTTTATAATAGGATATTCTCACACATGTTGAAATATTTGAAGTGCTAAACAATTTTCATACTATCTCGTTTTTTTATTTTACATATGTTATAATATAATTATAATTATAAACAAGCTTACTTTTTATCATTATGTATATATAAATATTTTTATTTAATTATTATGTTACCGGTCCGACCATTGATCTAATTGATCTGATCGGATGAATCATGACCCGTTAGGTTTTCCGGTTTGATATCCGATCGGCTTTTAAAACATTGGTTATAATATAATTATAATTATAAACAAGCTTAATTGTTATCATTATGTATATATAAATATTTTTATTTAATTATTATGTCACCGGTCCGACCACTAATCTAACTGATCCGACCGGACGAACCATGACCCACTAGGTTTTCCGGTTTGATATTCGGTCCTGCTTTTAAAACATTGCCTACAAGAATATCAGGGCTAAAAAGATGGATGGACGAAACTTGAAAATGACAGTTTTGTTGTAACCTTTTGTTTTATTTATTTCTATAACTATACTTTTAGGATATAGGATATACGAAGTTTAATTTTTTTAATTTATGATTTATTTATGATTAATATTTTCATTCTTATATAAGTTTTCTAGATTTACTCTTATTCATAGGGAAGCAATATTTTTGTCCAGATTTTTAATCAACCGTCATGGGTGGCTACTACTTCACCATTATGTTCCCATTTTCGTGTCGTCCCCCAACACAGTCTGTGTTAACTACACCGGACAACCACCTCCCAATCTCATCATTCGCAGCATGCAGGGAGCACATGGTACGGTCAAGACCTTGCGGGGAAGATTTCATGCTACCTTGCTCTAAGGTTGTTGGCATGTTATTAGTTTGTTAGACAGATAAATATCTAATGTAACCATTCCAATACCTTTTCTAATAAATTAGGCTAAACTGTACATTGCTAATTTAAAAAAAATACTACTATCTTTTGTTTTCAATATAAGAGCTAGTTGAAAATTCAATTTGATTTTAAATATAAAATCCTAATCCATCTTATCTCAAGTATTCATCCGTTTTGCCTCTAAAGTAATTCCCATGCTAACTATACATGTTAAAAAGTTTTCATTAAAAGGTAATTTTAATGCATATGATTAATAATAAGGATGTCTTAAGAAAAATAACATATATTTATTACAAATAACTAACTTAGCTAATTTTTTTAATATCCTCAAATTAGTTATCTGGCTTTTGTATGATAATATAAAAATTCCCTCCCTCAGAAAATATATAAACGTATTTATAGATTCAAAATATCATTTTATATATTTTAAATTATAAATGAAAATATAAATTAATTTAATTTAACTTTTTCTTATTAACAAGATAATAAATAATATGGCAATCCGTCATGCAATATCTAATAAGAATATTTTTTCTGCTGTGTGTAATTTACTAACCTTCACTTTTGTCTCGTGGAGCTTCCAATCTGACTAACAAAAAGGGAAAGAAAAAGACTCTTTTTTTCCATTTACCCCCCCGGGGGGGGGGGTCATTCTTCTCTGCCTTAAATTTTCCCGTCCGCCCATGATCTGCACTACAAATTTTCCAGTCTACCCATGCCTTAAGTAGACCAAAAATATCATACGCATACGAGTCAAATACTCCTGTATTGACCCTGGGTGGGGGGGAAAAAACTCCTGTATTGACTTGTCTTGCGGGGACCAAACCAGAAAATTTTACTGGAAGATAAAATTTTACCAAGCAAAGAGCTTATCATGTCCATACTGATCTCATTCCACCACACAGAGGCCAATCCCTTGGGTGTGTTGGGTGATAAGGAATCCCATTCCCATAAAATGCAGAGGATGAGCATTCCCTCAGGAATGAGATTCTATATATCGGCACACAAGAGACTAATTATCAAGCACATTTTTGTTAGACTATTACAATGTCCTGATTAGCACAGTGAATTAAAGTAAATTCCCACACAACGGTGTGGGGTACCCTGTACGTACGCAATGGTTGCGGGGATATATTTGGTCCTGTTGATTATTATATTAGACATAAATTAAATCAATACCGCACAAATATTTATGAAGGAGTCATTGGTCTTACTTCCTGCTATGGATCAGATATTGGCGAAGAGGCAGGTATGCCAGATTACCAAAGCGACATTCTCAGACGGACAAAATTAAAGGCTCCATTACATTGGTGTGGCCCTGTGTATATATCAACTTTATCTTCCTAATTAGTCTTGCCTGCCCCCTCGGAAAATTGTCACGTATATAGTTTTTGTTTCGTGTTTTGTGAAGGGGTTAAGTTGGAATTAAAGTTGATTATAGACGAGGCGCATGTAGCACGTGCGATTCCAGGCGAGAAGGTGGAGATTGTCGAGAGAATAAAACGCGTGTTCATTATCTTTCTCATGTTGCAGCTCGGGTGGATCGGATCACGGCCACCGATATTTAAGGGAATAAAGGTGCATTGAGAACGTGTTGATTAATGATGTTGCTGTCTGCATAAAAGCGGTGCTTGTTACTGTCATCTGATCTACATGATATAAATGTGTGTGTGTGTGGACGGCGTTTGAATCCAAATAAAAGGACTGAATTTAAACACGAGTGTGTGGATCACAAGGCTTGCCGTAGGTAACTTGTCCGTCAAGGGCGTTTCCGCCATAGACCGGGGGCCACACGCTGCCCCCTCTTCACATGAAAAACAATGTCATCTATGTATGCTCTGCTGATTCACGGTATGAACTGAACACTGCAGCTGCATTGAACATACAAGTCACGTAACCCGCCCCATATAAAAAAATTATATCACTCCTTTTCAAATATGGCGCCATCGAAAGTCAAAACTTCCTCAAGTATGGTGAATTAATTAATTACTTATTACATTTAATTGTATATAAGGGTGAAATAAGAACATTAGTTAAATAGGTTTTATATTAAAAACTGAAAGAGTATTAAATAAGACTTATATTTTTCCAAAGTCAAGCTAACTAGTTCAGTTAAAAAAAAAATAACTAAAACGGTGGACTGACGAATATATCGTCAGATATGTAGTATCTCAAGTCGACTTTCCTATAGAAAGGGCCGGACCGGTAAAGGTAAAAACATGCTCCGTGATAAGACTGTCCATCCATGATTTCTGGAAGAATAGCAACCACTTTTGAAGGGAAAAAAAAATTATCAGTAAATTCTAATAATAAGTGTACAGGTGTTATTTTTCACAGTGAAATTCATAATTACAGGATATCATGCATATTGGGCAGTGTTGTGTGCGCGCCGTGCTTCTGTTATTGGGTATTTCAGCGTTGGAATAATGAGAGAACGAAAATAAAAGGGCAGCTCAATAAAGAAAGATATATGCTTTGTTCCTCCAGACACTTGATAGCATAAATAAAGCCGCATATAATTAAAGATATAGATATTCGCATATTACTCATATGACTAAATTCGTATATATCGTCCCTGTGATACCGATGATTTTTCCCTCTTCTGGTATGCCTGACTAACGGCTAGAGGTGTTCATCAAGCTCGCTAGCCCAGTATGCCTGTCCGAGCCCGCAAAAAAATAGCCCTATCTAGCCCGAAAAAAGACAGCCCAAAGAAAAGTGGACATGTTTGGGCTGGGCATATTATGGGCTCGGCTGAGCTATGGGTAAGGTATGCTGCCCTACCCGTGATATATATATTTATAATTCTTTTTTTTTTGCCAGAAATACTTATAATGATATATAATATATATGATAATATATATTATTCTCCCCTCTTCCATTTGCCCTATATACATTTAGTGGTATGTGTAATTCTTCCTTCTTAGTATCTTTTTAATGTTTTTCTAATATGGTTTAGTATCTTTTAGTTTTTTTTTAATTGTTGGTTGTCTTGCAAATATGCAAAAGCAAGCTAACTTTAGTGTTGTATTAAAAGATATATCAATTTAAGACAAATCAAAGTTATTGATTTGTTGAATTTATTGTTTATTCAAGTATTTATTTCTTTATAGTTGTTATAAGATACCCTTACTTCAACTAAAATTTTTTTCACCAAGGTATCATTATTTGGGCCTGGAAGCCCACCTTGCCCAGCCCGTTATTGCCCAGCCTGAAAATGGTTAGGGCTTCTATGGGCGGAGCAGGGCAGCGGGCTGCAAAATGTAGCCCGCTCATCTTTCGGGTTGGGCATCAGGCAGGAGGCATGCCCTACCCAGCCCTGCCCATGAACACCCCTACAGTAACGGCTACTGTTTTTCCGTCTTTTTTTCTTTTGTGGATAACCTAGTAGCTAGGTGGTTTTTCTAAACGCACCTCTAACTTAAAATTGTCAGTGCGTGTGTGCGATGAGTCGAAAAATTTATACTCCTCCAGTATTTAATATAAGACCCGTTTAACTAATTTGATTAGATTAAGAACGTTAGGTAAATTAGTTAATTATAAGAAATACAACACGTTTTTCCTAAAATACCAATAATCATCTTTCTTAATTCCTCCTCTTCCTTTTTTACTTGATTATGATTGAGGGAGTATCCATAGGGGTAATTTAGAGAAAACTGATAAATATAAAAAATGGGTCTTATATTTAGGACCAAAACCAACTCAACAATTAGGTCCTATATTAAGAACCGGAGGAGTAGTATGGTTTATCAAGGGAACCATGCGATGTTTCTTCACGAATTCTGTCAAGTCTTTGTTCCAAGCATACTCATCATAAGCGACTGATCAATTACACTATTAGCACGTAAAAATACTTATTTCAGTCTCTTAATATAAAAAATTTAGATACTCCTTCAATTCTAAACGTAAGACCCGTTGAATAAGATGTTCATAATTTGGAGAATATAATGCCTATTATTGCCTTCACGTGCAGTGGTTATTTTCATTCAGTTCAAGTTTTTGCAAGACGCGAAACAAATTAGAATCGTCGGAGGATAGGATAGGCGCGCTCGTTCTAAATATAACAAGTTCTTCACTCAACATCATTTTCTAACCTCCTGCCCTGGCAAGAACCATGTACTAATAACAAGAGCAGTAATTTTTCCAAAATTATTTGCATCATTCAATAATCTGCCTAAAACAATATTTATCAACTGACTCCACAGTGAGGATCCTTAATTTCTTTCGAGATCACCTCTACATGAGGAAGTTGGATTCTTTGGATGCCTCTGCAGTGAACAAATCATCTACATATGGGTGCTATGAATAATCTTTTACGTTTTCTTTCGAGAATACAGTCAAATTTAGAGGAATTGAATTCACCAGTGTGCGAGATTCAAAGGAAAAGAAGACGTGGACAGGACCATGGTCGAGTGGTTCCGCCGGTGTGGAAGGCTTAGTTTCTGGTGCGCAGAAAGATATTTCCAGCTAAGAGGTCAAGAGCCTTCACTCTCGTCTGCAAATTTTGACGATGTCGGTCTGTTCAGTGAGACTTGGGGGAGAACACAAGCTAAATAAAAATATTTTAATCACGAGTATTCTTAAGAAAAAAATTTAATAGCTCCGTAAATTTTAGAAAATAGCTAAATACAGATATTAAAAACTTTAAGTGCTTAAAATCGTTTAAAATAATTTCATAAACAGACACTAAAGAATATCATAGCGAGAGTGTCATGTTATCTTAAATAATTCAAGAAAAAACAAGAAAATTAATACTTTGGGTTGATAAATATGAAAATTGATACATGTATAGAAAAACAAGAGAATTAATACCTTAGGATGATAAATATAAAAGTTGATAAGTGTATATTTTTATAATTAAATTTGTGTAGGTTTGGATATATTAAAGAAGATCTATAAATATTTTGTATTAATTAATTAATTAATTATTTATTTAAAATTTAAGTATCAAGATAAAAGGTAATTTCTCTACAAAGTATACTTACATTTATTCTATTTAGAAGAAGATGCCGAATACAGGAAAATCAAGCAGCGGACATGAAGAGATCAGGTAATTAATTGTTATTTTCTCCAACATTCAAAAAGTAAAAGTTGGCGAGATAGGGTACTTATTGGTAATTTTCGCAGAAAATGAAAATGGAATAATTGAACTCGTTAATGGCCTGAACTCATTTTATTTTAAAACAAGGAAATAAAAAGGGTTAAGGTCCAGAAGTATTTTCTCATATACATTTGGTATCTTGAAATATTTTTTAGGTGAATTTAACACTCTGAAGTATTTTATGATACATCTAACATCTTTAAGTATCTTTTTAAATACGTCTAGTACTGTGAAATATTTTTTGATGCATTTGACATCTTAAAATATTATTTTAGATACGTTCAACATTTTAAAATATTTTTTGATACATCCAACATTAAGACAAAAAAATATTTCAAGATATTAGATATGTGGAAAAACATATTTTAATGTACTAGATAGACCTCAATTCTTAGGAAAATAGCTCTCAAAGTGGAAGTTCATTACGCGGTTAGAAAAATGCAGCGTATAGATAAACAGTTCCCATGATGTTAGATAATTATTTTTACTCTTGACAGTATTTTGATAAAAATGGCCCCTGACATTGCTAGGACGTGCTCTCTCCGGTTTAAAATATAAGTTAAATTTTATTCATTTATGTTTATAAAAAAATTAGTTAAATCAGTTTAAAATAATAAATATGCAAAGCTTGTATTTTTCTCTCTCCAAATATATCATTATTAATGAAGAAAATAAGTAAAAAATATAATAAATAAATCAAAAAGGAAAGATAATATATGTGGGATAAAATTAGAAAAAACTCATTAAATGTCTAAATAAAAACAAATATTATTTTGTGAAAAAAAAACCAAAACTTTCTTAAATTTTGATATTTTGAGGGAGTAGTGTTTAATAAAGAGGCTCGGAAATTAAGCGCAACGAAGATGAGAGAGAATTGGGGCACTTGATCTTCTTCATTTCATAGGCGTCAAGCCAAGATCAAGCGGGCACACAGTTGTATAGAGTTTAAAATGACTTACGCTATTTATTAACGTTGAACGTCGGCATAGAGATAATAATTAGATGATTAATTAAATTTATTCTTTTGCCATCCCCTGCGGCGCTCCCTCCTCTCTGTATCAGCATGACAGCGTTGTCATGATCCTCATTCAATTTTCGATTTTCTCCGTTGTCGAACCAATATCATTTTTTAAGTGATATATTTTGTTTGAGGTATTTCCCATTTTCCCCTGCCCCTCCCATCCCCTCATTTTCATCCTCTACCATTTGTTTTTTGTTTTCCGCTTTTTTGTGTGTGTGATAGTTATTGTTGTTATTGCATATATGCCTATGTGAAAATCATAAACTCTCTCCATTCAATCGTACTTGCAGACCTAGTTTGGCTTTCTCACCTGCCAGCTTGCGCCGCCTGCGACCTCTCCTCTGCTGACCTCTCGCCGTCGTCCCATCTCAGGTGCGTTTCTCTCCTTCGTCCCTTCTCCTTCCACCTGCCGGAGATTCAGTGATGTTTGTAACATACCGATCTGTGCTAGCTTAAAGGAAAACAGCGTGCTAGCGTGTGATTGCGACACGTCAACCACAAAATAATACGGCTTATCTTCTGCCTGTACAATTTGACCAATCATTCGTGCTATTCGGAATCATCTCGCACTTTTTATTTCGATTTGCAGATTCTCTAAAACGGCCTTGTTAATCATTTGAAAATACGTCCCTTCAAATCCTCTGTTAACAATTTATAAGGTTGACTGATTATTTATTCTCTGTCATCTCTACTCACAATGCTATAGAGTTGACCGGCTGCGTAGCAGTCTGAACAAGCTATCTAAACAGATTCTCCAATGCATGGATCTTCTAAATAAAAATACTTAAATTCCTCAAAGTTTCTGTAAAACGTTGGATCATGTTGGTGAAGCGTGATCACAATTTGAGACCTGCAGCAAGTACATCGTGCCATGTTCATTATTTCTAATGAGACATGACCATGGTTGCGGAATTAAATTCATGTGTCTGATAATATGGTATGTGATTGGTTCTAACAATAATAACTGAGTCAATCATATGCATTAGCCTATGTTACACTAGCCTAATTTACACGTCTTCTCTCTTCCCATAGACTTGTTCAGCGTCGATTTCTTTCTCTAAAGTTAAGTTTTCTGTACTTTTTTACTCCTGGATCTGGCTGCGCTCATCCCCCCCCCTTTCATGACCTCGTTACGAGTTTTAGATCAGCTGCTGCAGCTGATTTATGCTGGGTTCTATTAGATCTTGTAATTTCCTTTTGAATTGTTCTTTTTTGAAGTGCCCTGTATAGTGTTTGATGAAATGGTTCGGATGTTCAGGCAAAACCAGATTTATTGGTTGATGGAGTTGGCTTTAGGGGTAGAAGACGCAGCTGACTGGGTTTACAGAGGCGAAGGAGCTGAAAATCTTGTTCTAGCCTATACTGGATTTTCTCCTGCTTTTGTGCGTTTCAACTTTCATTTTCTCGTTTTCTCCCTTTCATGTCGCACTAAATGTGAATCAACAATGTGATGGAGATAAATCCTTTTTTTTTTTCAATTGTTATCAATCATTAATAAAGTGAATTATCTAAGAAGATGATTGTCCTATGTGGGATGTGGAAAATGATAAATATTATGAGGCATTGAACGTTCTTAATGTGCCTGCACCCTGCACTTATCTTTAGTAATTTATATTTTGCTCTCCTGGGCTTGTCTGGGTTGTCTACGTAGATTGGGAAAGTGATGCGCATAAGTAAGGCTCGCAAGAGTGGCTCAAAGGTGGTAAAGGGTGCCGCGGCTTTGACTGAACATGAACGTCTCCTGTGGAAAGATATAGATGAGCTTATATTTTCTTCAAGCAAAGAAGCTGTAGGGAAGCTATTTGTCCAGCATGTTATGAAGCCATTGTTAGGACCCCAGTACGTCGATCCAGGGGTGAGGTGCTTTTACATTATTCACTTCTTGATTTGACGTTCCTTTTAAACTCAAATTACGTCTAAAACTGATTATTTTTGTGATGATAACTTTCCAGTAAATAACACTGAATCACGACTTGTGAGAAACTAGGCCACTATGTAACTTTATAGACGGATCTAATTATGGTCATTTCTCTCATTTTACTAGTTATACTATGAATAAAAAAGATAACTTTAGCAAAAACTCGACTGTTTAGGAACCAAAAAAGATCCTGCTCAAGTTTTAAGGTCAGTGCAATTACTTGCATTTTTGTGAAAGTTAGTACTTCTGATCTCTGACCTCTACTTCATTGATTCTTTTTTAGATGAATGTTCCAGTGTCCAGAGAATTCCTTGAATCTGTTGAGAAGAATTTTATTTGTCAGCGTCCAGCTTTCCGAGTTGATACTGCCCAAATTGATATGCATTCTGATTCTGTGCTTCTCATGTCTGATCACTCACTCTTCCCTCATGGTACTGAGACCTGTTCTTGAGCCTGTTTACATTGGTTTCTTTTTTCGTTCTTCTTCTTTACTTTCTTCCAAGTCAAGTATGTTAGGCATTAGCATGGTCAAATCTCGTTGAGATCCTGGTTTTTTAATTTACCCAAAATGGGGCTTTCAATACTGATTCCTAAGCATCTCAAATTCACTGTATAGTGGACTGGACCTTTATAGCTTTAAAATTTGTGCTTCCATTTGAGAAATATTTAGTATTTTTCCTTGTGTATGCAACCTGTGACATATGCTGAGAAATTACTTATCTAGGGAGCTGGCAAGTGGGATAACCTTCTACTTACATAATGCATGCTTTGATCCTCCCAAGTAACTACCGGTTGAAAAATTATCTAAAGAGAGGCAAAGTTATGTTGATCGGAATCCAATCATGCACTAAGCAGTTGCATTTTATACACAAGTTCTAGGGAGGTTAAACTTACTTTGGGATAAAATCCAAACATGATTGTTCGAAGTATCCTATTAACCAATCCCCTCCCCCCCCCCCCCCCCCAAAAAAAAAAAAAGAAAAAAAACAAGCAGATGTTCTATGTCTTCAAAGTTCAAATCATGCATAGAATCACTAAACTTTAAAATGTTCTGTAGTAAATGCTTTCTTTCTCATTTCAGGTAGCCTGGAAGTTAGCCCTTGCATTTCTGTTGAAATAAAGGTATTTTCTCCTTTATGTCATACAATATTTTTCTTTGGTAACATGTGTGTCCTTTTTCCCTCCGTAACCTGAGCTCTATATTAATGATCTCACCCACTCCTCTCTTCCTCCCTCTTGCATGGCCGTAAAATTTTAACTACTGTCGAAAGAAAGCAGCCTAAATGTGGATTCCTGCCTCTTTCAAGATTCATATCAGACGAAACAGCAATCAAAAAGAGTGTAACTCGATTCAAAATGCACCAAGTCCTGAAATTGCAACAAGGAGAGGTAAACCCCTCAACTATCTCACTCCAATAGCTGCTTAGTGCATGCCTCTTTCAGTTTTAACTCTTGGTACCAATGTATTTTATAGATATCAGAGCTTAGTCAATATGATCCTCTTGATTTATTCTCTGGATCCAAGGAAAGAATCCAGAAGGCTATGAAGGATCTCTTTACTACCCCTCAAAACAATTTTCGTGTATTTTTGAACGGATCTCTCATATTTGGAGGGCTAGGAGGTGGTGCACCAACTACAAATTTCCTAATTGCAAAAACATTTGAAGATGCACTTAAATCTGTGATTCAAGCAGAAGATGGTCTATACACTGAGAAGTTTTTAGATCTAGTTGCTGAGAGCTTGCACAAATCAGAGGCCCTCGATCGGCTTTTGAAGATTCAGAAGTTTGATAATCTTGACATAGAGGGAGCAATCCATGCATATTATAACATAACTTCTCAACAGTGCATGGCATGTGAAGAATTGAATGAACAACAGTTAAACAGATATGCCTCTTTGCATTCTGCTTCCTTGGAGGAAAGCTTGAGAACTTTAAAGGATTACCTGATAGCTGCAACTGCGAAGGACTGCAGTTTAATTATTTGTTTTAGACCAAGTAAAGAGGGGTACTTAACATCTGTATGCGATCATGTATGTGTTCAGTCAACTAAGCAAACTTTTGATGTCAAGGTACGGAAACTCCATGCCCATTTGTTATTCTACATTAATTTATGAACTTAGTATGTGTTCACAGATTTAATTTATGAATATCCTGAATTATCTTTCTCTTTTAACTTTGACTCAAAAAAATGTCGTTACCGTCTTTCACTGAGTTACAGATGTCGTTGCTTGAAACATTGATCATCTTACTTCAGTGGTCATTTATTCTATTGTAGGTATCTTACATTGACCTGGATTTGAAGCCTTTGAATAAAATGGAATATTATTACAAATTAGATAAGAAGATTGTGAGCTTCTACAGACAAATGGCTGAAATGAATCAAGAGATGAAGCCCCCAACTCTGTAGACATGTAAAACTCCAAATTGAGTAGTGTTATAGATGGCACCTGATGAAGATTGTCTTGGTAAGTAATAGTAGCTTGATTCTTTGACGAAAAACTAAAACATACAGGTCTGACAGTGCAAACTGCTTGCGTTTTGCTTTGCTTCCTCTCTCTCATTCTCACTTACTATCTTTCTTCTGTATCTGATTTCCCTTGCCTAAATAATTTGTTCTATCTGTATTACCTTTCTATTGCTTTTATTAGTTTCTAAACGTTGAATCTAACTTTGGCCTGTGGGAGCATATGTTTTGTTGCACATGTGCGAAAACTTGCCTCCATAATCAAATGCCATTTCTGGTTGACTGTAGAGGTGAACATGTAGTTGAATGCATGTGAGTTGATAAATCCGTCTGTCATATCGCTTGTGCTTGGGTTTTAGTGGCTAGATATTTGTTCTTGTAAGCATGTGGTCTGTACTACTTGAGCAACGTTCTCACTTGGAGATTGGAGTCTTAGTTATGCGCATCATGACTTCGTTTTCTATGCATACCATTATAACAATTGGAAAGGCAAGGTGACAAAATTCCAGCTGTTGGTGAGAGTGATATTTCATCTTCTTTAGTACTATTCTGTCCCAAGCATACATGGCATATTTATTGCTAAAGCTGGAATTTATTTTATCAGTGATGATGTTAAAGATGAAATTTTAATTTGTCGCGGTTCATTTATGTATATTTTAAGGCCTTTGTTGAATAAATATCTCTTTTATAATGCGCATGCTAGTTGTGACTGAATTTAGCGTAGTCTGCTTGTGTCTACTTACACTTTTCGTTTGTCTCTCACTGTTGGATGACGAGCACGTTTTGGTGACAGTTGTTGGCACCTTTATGGGCAGCGTTTTCTTGGCCCTTCAGTCGCGAGATTTGAGAATTTATGACATCACAATTGCAATTACCATTCTGATGCTATGTGCTCCAACAATAATCTTAGATTTCATGGGAAATCCGGTCATAAATATCTAATGTGCATTAATGACTGGGTACCTACCATCACTGTCGCGTCATTTAGTATGCAACCAAAAGAGTGAGGAAAGGATGCCCATTGAAAAATCAAGAGATCATAAATCATAATTGAGAAAGCAAGTCTCGTGCCTTCCCTGTTTCTTGCTTTGTTCTGGCCTAGGAATTAGAGACTCTCAAATCATGTCCAAGGTTACATGTTTTATTAGCACCTTACGCTACTTCGACATGATAGCCTCGTTTTGTTGGGAAATAAGTATCATGTCTTCACTTTTTCTGGATCTGTTCTACTTTATTCTGACATGACGCAGTTCTTCCTACGTAGATTTTTCGTTTTAGTACAGAATTTCTCTGCACCATTGTTGGGAAGTTCTGTCATTCTGACGCACTTATTTATTGCAGAAGACGGTGGTATCAGTAGAACTTGCGTGTTCCAGATGCAGGCAGAAGGTGATGAAATTAATTGCAACCATTGAAGGAATTACTTCGATTGTGCTGGATCCGGCCAAAAACACAGTGACAGTGATTGGGGAAGCTGATCCCGTGAGGATCATCAAGAGTGTGAGAAAATTCAGGAAATCAGCAGCAATTGTGAGTATTGGTCCTTCCAAAGAAGAGAAGAAGAAGAAGAGAAGAAGGAAGAAAAGAAAGAGGAGAAAAAGGGTACCACCACTGAGGCTCCGAGAATATGCCACAGATGCGATGTATGGTATGTGATTCCCGAAGATCATTATAGCTACTGTTCCATTATGTAACTAATTTTCTTATTCAGGTGCTGTTTTGTGCAATTATTAAATCTTCTAAACAAAATTAACAGATCGAATTCGTTAGTTTGGTACATGGGTTTCAATTTTGATAGTTTGGGAATGGGATTGGATGTGGACGTGGGATTAGAAATGGGACTGAACTTTAAAATTATGTTTGGTATGGAGTAATATTTAAAGGGAATGATTGGATTAATTTTATTTTAAAATTAATTATAAAATGTAAAAAGATTAGAACATCCTTGCTACTAAACAAGTCCTTGTTATCTGAAGGGAAGGGCATTTTGGTATGAAAGATTCCAATTCCAAGCAATTCCTTATGTCAAACATTTTTTAGTGAGCTTTTTTAATCCTAATTTTCACTTCTCAATGCTTCATATTAAAAGGGGCTCACTATTGTTCTTGGTAACAATGATACCGTGCACCAATTGATTCACATTAAAGTTTGTCATGCCGAGATGGAAATGGCTCGACTACTTTCTTTCTTTCCCTCGTTTTCCTGTTCCCTTTTTCTGAAAAATGAGGAAAAAGATCTAACAAAATTGATATTTATTGAAAAGAATTTTAAAATTATAATTATTTAGGACAGAAAACCAAATATAAATATTCAATTACTAAACCGCCCGAAATCACATCTTACACTTTCCCAAACCACGTTATTTGACAGATTTGTATTGGAAAAAAAAACTATTTATGTTAGGTTTTTTTATATGTCAACCTTTCCCATCTTACATAAATTCTTTTTATGTGCTTTGTCTAAATTGAATTTAAAATAATAAATTAGGATATAAATATTTTGACATTAACAGAATATTATTATTCAGTCGTCGCTAGAATCTAGAGAGTTAATTTACACAATTTAACATAAAAGCTTCAAATTTAAATTAGCACGCTCCGACCCATTCAAGAACTTTCTATCAAGATATCATTAGTGCAATAATTAAATACTGATTCCTTTAATTTTAAAAAAATGCCTAATTAAATAAATTCTTCATTTTACAGGAAACTTCTTAAATTTTCAAGTCTATATAGATAGTCAAACTATTTGTTTTATATCTCTTAAATTCTATTTTTATTCTATTTTTGCACGCATATAATTTTTCAAAAGTTAAATTATATGCATATAAACCCTTTTTTTCTAACTAAAGTCAATTTCTTAAACGTGAATCATTGATAAATAAATAATGAATAAAATTAATATTATTAGGGTTTGTATAAATATATAAGTTTAGCAAAATTTATTGTGAAATATGGAAAAAAAAATTATGAAGTTGGCTTTCGTATAATTTAATCTTAAAAAAAATTTCAGGCCTATATTTTTAGCTCACGAGGATTCTAGAATTTCCCACTTCCATTCTTCCCCCTCCCCAGGCGAAATAAAATCGGAAAATTCCGAAAACCCCACTAAACCCCTAGAATCTCGTTTGCTTTTGCTGATTGCTGGCCCGGAAACATGTGGTCGCCGTCGCCGGAGATAATCACTTCCACGAAATCCGTTCTTTCAGTTGCCGCCTCCCTGGCCGCTTCTGCGGTTCTCCTCCATTCCACGGCGAACAATCTCATTCCTGATGGAGTCTATGACTGCTTTCAAAAGCTATTGAACCGACTCTCGCCTCAGCTCACCGTCGTGGTTGAAGAATTCGACGGTCTCGCCGCCAATCAAATGTTTGAGTCTGCTAACACATACTTAGGCTCCAAGCTAACACCCTCTGCCCAAAAAATCAAGGTTTATAAGCCTTTGAAGGAAGACCATTTAACCGTGTCCATGGACAAGAACCAGGAATTCTACGACTCATACGAGGGTGTGACGTTCAAATGGGTTCTGATCTCTACGCACAACGACCATCCTGTCTCAAACACCAAGCGTAGGGGCGATCACTCTGCAATTGATCGATCTGAAATTCGTCAATTTTTACTCTCTTTTCATAAGAGGCACAGGGACATGGTTCTGACCTCTTACTTGCCTTACATTCTGCAAAAAGCAAAAGCAATTAGAGAAGAGAAGAAGACGGTGAAGCTTCATACCATTGATTACGGTGGCACCGACTACTGGAGTTCCATCAGTCTCAATCACCCAGCCACATTTGATTCCGTTGCCATGGAACCTGTGATGAAAAAGGAACTGTTAGACGATCTTCATTTATTTACTGAGAGGAAAGAGTATTACAGAAGAGTAGGGAAGGCCTGGAAACGCGGGTACTTGTTGTACGGACCGCCGGGTACAGGAAAGTCGAGCTTGATTGCGGCCATGGCCAATCATCTCAAATTTGACATTTTTGACTTGGATTTAAGGGAGGTGATGTGCAACTCCGATCTCAGAAGGTTACTAATCGGCACCGGAAGTCGCTCAATACTAGTGATCGAAGACATTGATTGTTCTATAGAACTGCAGAACCGGGAAACAGATAATGAAGACACAAAAGAAGATGAGAAGGTAGCTTGATTCCCCAGTACTTTGTTTGAACATCTATAATGACAGCTTTTATTTAAACGTTATCTAATTGCAATCTTTGTGCAAAGGTTACACTATCGGGACTGTTAAACTTCATGGATGGATTGTGGACGAGCTGTGGAGATGAACGAGTTGTGATATGTACGACGAATTACAAGGATCGTCTTGATCCAGCATTGTTGAGACCGGGTCGCATGGATGTGCACATTCACATGTCCTATTGCTCTTTCAGTGGTTTCAAGACATTAGCAGCTAACTACCTGCGAATTGAGGAACATGCAGTGTTTGACGAGATAGAGGAGCTTCTGCAGAAGGTTGAGGCAACGCCTGCTGAAGTTGCCGGAGAGTTGATGAAAAGTGCTGATGCAGACAAAGCCCTCAAGGGGCTCGTCAACTTCCTACACCGCAAGCTTCCGGAAAATCTCCAGTAATGTCAAGGTTGAGTTGAGACAGTGACAGCATTCTGCTTTTTGTCAGATCAAGTTACAGGCTTACGGAGTTACAGCCCTATAGTCCGGATTCGCTTTATTTCTCCCTTAATAACAACCGCAACACTTGCATATTTTTTTGGATCAAAGATTTCGGATAATTGAAATTTCACGCATGCTTATGCTACTCTTTAGTCTCGATCAGAGGCTATACTTCAGGTTAACTACAATGCTTTTTCATTTGATTTTTTAAAAGATGTTTTTCTCATAGAGAGAATATCGGGTAGCCCCACAGTAACAACATATCTTTCAATGTCGTCCAAAATTTCATTGCAACTCCAAGAATCATAATGAAATTAAGCTTTGTAAGTAAAAAGATATTAGGAAAAATCATAAAAAAAGATCACAGAAATGGCACTATCACAAATATAGAAGATCTGTATAATTGAATGGCAAATCACAGCAAATTTTTGACAAAATACCTAATTTATAATTTCACAATTTTATTATCTTTTTTATGATGTTTTCAAGATATTACTGCCCTTTTTAAAAAGAAAATCAACCATTTGGTTTTGCACTCCAAATAGATGGTAGTCACTAAGCCATCCAATCTTTTTAATCATGCAAAGAAATATATATATATATATATAACAAAATAAATATAAGTATTTAATTATAAATGAACAAGTAAAATTTAAAAGTTCACTCTATATATTAGACAATGTAAGAGAGAGATTTCACAAGCCTCATTTTCACAATGTGTGGAGAGAAAAATGCAAGCACTACATATGAATGTGCTGGTGAAATAAGTCTATTCACAATGCAAATTAAGTAATTTACAACAAATATAAGGAAATTTACAACTCTTATTTTAGGTTCCATGGAGAGAAAAATACAAATATTAAATATGAATAAACAAGTAAAATAACAAGATTTACAAGGAAAAAAAAAACACAAGGAAATTCGCAACCTCCTCCTATTTCAGGTTTTGTAGAGAAAAAAAATACAAGTATTGAGCAACAAATGAAATAAAATGATTTACAATACAAATTAAAAATTTTACAAGGAATATAAGAAAATTTTACAGCCCCATTCCAGGTCATGTGGAGAGAAAAATACAATATTTCTAAATTGCATTTTGATATATGTGGACTGATTTGAGATCATAAAAATTGAGCTCACTATTCGGGTTTTCCAATCTTGGTGGCATTTATTTAGTTAGAATTTTTCCCATATAAAAGTGGGAGCAAAAAAAAATAATAAGAAGAAGAAGAGAGGAAGGCCACGCTAATTCTAGGCGCGGCCGACAATGGATGTTAAGATTGACCTGTTTGACATTGAAAAGATAATCAGCAGAGCAAAATCAGGCATTTCACTAAGGTCCCGTCTGTCCAATATCTCTTCACCAGCAACCCTTCCTTTTCTGCAGAAGGTTGCACACGCTTTAGAGTTCACGCCCATAATGACGACTAAGTATGAACATTTTTAAGTTTCTTTTTTAATAAAGTACTACCTCCAGTCCTAATTATAAGACCCAGTTGACTTATTTGAGGAGATTAAGGAAGTAAGTTAAGTTAGTTATTTGTAATAAATAAGTGTTGTCATTCCTAAAATATCCTTGCTAATTAAGTATATTGGCTATAATTATCATTATTAGAAGGAGTATCTTGGAAAAAAATGTATAAATATGAGAGACAAAATGGATTGGAGTCTTATAATTAGGACCAAACAAAAAGTCAAACGGGGTCTTATAATAAGGACCGGAGGTAGTAAAATGAAAATATCTTCGACTTACATTAAATGTGGATTTTTCTCGACTGTCTATATATGCCAGAAGTTCTTCTTGTCTTATTAAAGCTTCGTAGAAGGCCTGCTTAAGAATCCATACAGATGAACTATTTGTGAAATAGAAAATAGAAACAAAAGAGACCTTCCTAGCGTAATGTAAATAACAAGGTTTCAGATGAAGCATGATTACCTTCTTCGTAGCAATCAGCTCAGCCTCCAGTGCATCCACTCGATAAACTGCAGCATTCAGCATCTCTTCTTTCTCGTAAGGCATTTTGTTAGGTTTTGACTGTAGCATGCCAACTGTCACTTCAAGTTCACGCAGCCGATCCAAGGCAGATGAGAAGTCCGCCTTTGTGAACCCTCCGCCAGGTGGAGATTCCTCCTTGGGCATTGATTCAACAACCGTCATGTTAGGAACATTTTGAGCAGAATCAGATATAGATCTCCGACTTTCCTTGGTTACACAAAATGCCAGTGAACGCATAACATTAAAGAGGGCAACAAAGAAGCCCATTATGACAGCCCAGATACAAGCACCAATTCCATGAGAAGATTTTTTTGTACGTAGCGAACATGTATCTGCAATAAATTAAGAACACGTTACAATCAACATTTCTGGGATGCTCTAATGTTAAACCTCCTAGTTCAAAAGCTAAAAGACTGGATTAGTTCATTTTTTCTACATGAAAGTAAAATTCTTTATCTTTTTTCTGTCGGGAAGGATTTGCTTTCATAAACAGGCTATCAATCATGCTCACCTGTTTGAACTCATTGCATCTTGTTAATGGTACTCTCGGAAAAATGAAATAATTTTAAAAATACAAACTAATCTTAACTAACTTTCTTGGTTTGTGCGGATTAGTTAAATATGACTAACAGATAGGAATAGACACAATATCATTTTCAGTTAATCATAATTGCACAGCAAACCCCACAATTGATTTTCAATAATAACTGCTGAGAAGATGCCTCAGATATCTAACCTGTTAACCCCTCTGAGCTTTGAGGTGCCACTTGCTTCTCCTTCCCCCCAACATCAACAGCCTTGTCAACCATGGAAACATACTCATCATACTCATAGAAACCACAAGAATGACTAGCCGCACCAATCATTCTAGCCTGAACAAAAATCAACGTGGTTGGAATTCATTTATTGCACCACAATTTTAAACCCTCAAAATCATACTGACTTGGCCCTATAAAAACTCCGAACAGGTGATCACAAGGCAAAACATAGTAATTGGGAATAAAGTAGATCATAAAGAACTGCCAAGCTTGTCATGGTGCAATAACAAAAACACCTTAATAAAGAAGAACCAAAGATTTAGATCTAGCACGGAGCAATATGCAGCTAGACTGCCCACAAATACAAGATTAAAAGGCTCAAAGCAAGAAATCATTCATCCATAAGAAGTACCCATAATTGACAGAAGTACAATAGAGGTGTTTGCTGTAGCAGATGAAATCACGTTTTATGTTGCTACAGTTCTACAAGAAGATACAAAAAATTTCCAAAAAGGTTGTCATTCTAAAGTAATGTATACACAAATAGAAAATTAACTCAATCTAGTTGATCGACATGCTTGTCGCCTATTCTAAAAGACAGCCTATCATGGAACACAAACCACAGGTTTATAGCAGGTGGAGAGTGAAAAGTCAAGAATAAAACCAAATTTATTCAATCCCCACTATCAGTTTTATCGAAACTAACATGATATTCTAAACAAATAATAATGAATACCTACATATTCATGTACAGGAGTCAACCTAGGGTTTACATTATTCCCACTTGCTTTTGGAGAAGCAATATCTTCAACTTCAGATCCTGATTCTGCTGATGCATCAATGCTTCTTATCTGGTAGAAACCCAAAAACCGATACGTGTGAATACACATAATTATTACATCTCAAATCACGTCAAATTTAACAGGATTTATATTTAGGGTGGTATTAAAAAACATACCATTGGATAAGATGTCTTGTCACATTGAATCACCCTCCCTTCATCATTAGAAACTAAAACTATCTGGCTAGAACATTGTACTTCACCGCTAAGAACCATCTGTTCTCAAACAACGATTCTAGATGAGTCACATGAGAGGATATGAGATGATACCAAGAGATAAAGAACATAGAATTAGTCAAAGTTTAGTTGAAATCAGTCTAATGATTACGACATAATCAGAAAACCTTTAAAATGTCGGGGTCTTGCCATGGACCTTTATCAGACTTCATGCAATCACCCTGATCTGCACATGTACAGTTACCACCTAGAAATTCTGGCAGCTCACTGAAGAGTTCCAAACACAGTCAGAATTTTCAGATGACAAAACAATCGACAGAGAAAATAATCAATTATCATTGTTAAATGTAGTTACCTTGCATCAATAACTTCAAGTAATTTACTCTGGAACTTGTTGCCAAGAACCTAATGAACATTTCAAGTATCAGTCAATCCAATACCCATGGACAACTTTAGCAAACCATAAAAAATGAGAACTCCAATGTAACCATAAAAAAAAAGCCATATAAAGAATCAACCAAACAACCAACGCATACATGAATTTTCGAAGTGGTTTTAGGATCAAGAAATGATTTGACTGTGTTCCAGAGGAGCTTGAAACCAGGACCAGCGTTTATGATAAACATTCGGCACAGCGTCTGCACTATATTTTTCACATATTAAAGGGGTTGCGTCAATGAAAACTGCAGAAGCCATGAAAAGACAAAAGCCATAAAAAAGATATGATTCAAAACCACATACTTCTGGATAGTAGTCACCATCAATCTTCTGCAGCCGCGTGATTAGTTCTCGTGCGGACTTTGTTAGGTTTTTGAAACCCTATAAAGCAAAAGGAAGAATAGCAATATGAGATGATGTCTAGCTAAATGGCACCTAGGAACAACCCTTTAAATGATCCCTTAGACATATGACTTACCACCCCCTCAACATCCAATATTGTTGTACTTGAATCTATGTATCTCTTTGCAGCAATAGAACAAGCTGGAAACTTAACAGCAAATGTTTTCTCAAAACCCTGCACATGGTACCTCAGATACCTTTCCATAGTTGTTACTTGCATGAGCTTATTGGGATCGACTTTGCCCAGCCTCTCAATATAAAGAGGTCTTCCTTCCTTATCCACACCGTGATAACCTTGTGGGTAATATTTCAGAACTTCTTTTAACTCATGGAACTCAAAATCCTGCCAGGGAGAGCGAAACAAATAAGAAGGGGAAGATAGGAAAAGTGGAAATATAGGATATTACATCACAAACACTGAGTAGCAGTGTAAAATGTACATGGCCAAGAGAAACATATAGAAAGTCTGGGTATCGTTTTCAAATCTGATGACCCACCTCCATGATTGTGTCAGTGCCAAATTCTTTCCTCCATTGAATCATGTTGGCCCACATTTGCTTTGCTTTCTCAATATCAAATTTTCTTGCTTTCAAGAATCTGCAATCATATGAGTTAACTTTTAGTTTTTAACTTTATGACTGATTCAGTGAATTAGCTCCCTGTTAATTTCCCTTTAGCAAGTATGCTGATACCATATATGCAGAGAGACCATGAATATAAGAAATAAAAACCAATGATTCCATTTGCTATCTGAAACACTAAAGCTCATGATTAAGAACTATACATAATAATTAAATTACATTAGTTATAATTAAGTTTACTGCAGACACTTGACCTGATCATCACAGGAACGAAAAAGTAGATAACCCATCCTTGTTCTGTTAAAAGCTCAAAAGGGAAAGACGTAATACATAGCAAGTGTCCATATTGTTGGTGCACAAAATGAATATCGTAATGAAAAAGAATGGTAACCTCAACAACATATGATCGTCATCATGTCCGGGAGGCAACAAGTTATCTGACAAAAGTGCCCGTCGAAATGCGTCCACTGCTTGAAGCTCCTCAACGTCTCGGACATCCTCAATGGAGATGGCATTGCTCGGAATGGCACTTTTTTTCCTTCCTCTCTTCTTAAGAGAATGCCTGAATTTGCTGGACGCATTTATTGCTTTCTTTTTCAGACTTCCGAATCTTGTCCGCCTATCATCCTCTGAATTCTCGAAATCTGACTTCCTCTCTTTTCTTTCATCATGACCCGAGAATCCTTCAAAGCCTAGGTCAATTTTTCATGCGGCCACATTAGACGCACAATTACTACTAATTCTTTTGAAGTACTTTGCAGAATCTCAATATAGAATTTGAACCCTTAGATACCAAAGCATCAAGGATTCTTCTAAAATATTTCATTGATAAGGAGTGAGTAGAACAGACATGGAAAAGCAGCATACTGGGAAGCATTAATAAAAGATAGGCCTTCCCATCTCAAGATCATATAGAAGATACTATCAAGATTTTAACGATAAATTCTACAAAAACCGTGAAGTTCATTGATTATCTGAATATCCGTGTAGTAAAATTCAGCTCATTCAAGCGTCAATCCCCCTTGGTCCACAAACAGTCAGAGGAATTTAACGATCAGATTTCCCGATTATAAGCATCCACCAAAAAGGCTTCTGGTTGATGCATTCCATTCATTAATAAACGAACTGAGGTGGAAGAAAATAATCCACATGCATTACAAACCCCAAGATAAGCAATTCAGAAGGCATAATTAAATGTCTGACACATTAAATAGAGGAATAGAGATATTTCCTACAAGAATTTACTCACAAGGGCGGGCGAACCGATCAAGTGGTCCGGACATGTCAATATTGCTAACGAAGGTGGTAGTGGTTGGCTAAAAGAAGCATGAAACCGTGCAATTTCAAAGGATAGAAATTCGAATCACAAAAATGGATTGTGCCGTTTCCTTGTTGGGTGTAGTAGATGAGATAGAGTGTGCAAGTAGACAGGAAAGGAGAGAGATGAGTGGTGTGGGGAGAAGACGAGAGAAAAAGAAGAAGAGGCGAACGAATTCTGAGGAATGGAAACCAGAAGCAGCGGAGACACAAGATTCCATATAATCGAAGATATTTGAAAGAGGGAGCATGAAAGAGCGTGGGGATGACAACGACGAATATGTGAATCACTCTCTCATCGGGTCCTACTGCAAGAAGTTTCCGCGTTGTCTTCAGGTGGGTCCCCCTTTATCTGGCGGGAATTCGCCGTCGGCGGAAGCTCCAGGTGGAGCCGCCAACCCCTCCCCCCGCTTCTCTTCTCTACTGCCCTCCTTTCTCGGAGCCCGCCTTTATTGTTATTTTTTTGGGTCAGTATTTGAATTTTATAATAAATAATTAACTAATTTAAATAGATTAAAGAAATTAGTTAAATCAGTTAAGATAATATTTTTTAAAAAAACATTCTAAGTATTTTTTTTAATTTCCTTCCTCTCTCTTCTATTTAATTATTGTTGAAAAAATATCAATAAGATTAATTTTAAAAAATTAATAAATATGTAAAATAGATTTTGTATATAAAATTAACATCAACTCCCTGATTAAATCTTTAAAGCACTGAAGGAGTATATTATTACTACCTCCGGTCCTAATTATAAGAGCCAGTTGACTAATTTGAAGAGATTAAGAAAGTAAGTTGAGTTAGTTATTTGTCCTAAATAGGTGTTGTCTTTCTGAAAATATTCTTGCTAATCAAATATATTGACTAAAACTATCATTGTTAGAAAGGCTATTTTGGAAAAAAAAAATGTATAAATATGAGAGACAAAGTAGATTGGGGTCTTATATTTAGGACCAGCACAAAAGTCAAACAGGGTCTTCTATTGAGGATCGGAGTTAGTATTTTATACTCAACTTTGTTTTCAATTCCACGATGAGATGTTCTTCTTTGACTTCAATATGAACACCTGGTATGCTTCCGCAGTTGAGTTTTGAATCCTGACTAAAACATAAAGCATCGATCAAGATTAGAATTTATAAGGGTTTAGATTTAGCTTCGTGTTTTATACAGATGTAACATTTTTGACTTCTTGCTAAAAAGAATGATGAAATAATGGGTTTCCCTGTGATTTTGTCCAATTTTCGAAAGGTTCCAGCAAAGATTTTCCGGACTTTTTGCTTGGCTGAGGAGCTCTCTTCGTGTTTTATGCTCCTATCTCAGTGACGACACAGAAAATGTAGGAAGATGAAAACAACATTGCGTCTTTTTCTGTCCAGCCCAGAAGTCGCAACAAAATACTAATGAATCGACTATTAGTTTCCAGCTAGCCAGCGATATAAAATCGTATAAAGGACGCAAAGAAAAATATAAATATCATTCATTTAGCGGGATTATCAGGAATGAGAATCTGTTGCTTCGTTTGCTCGTCCGCCCGTTATACGCTTCGATTCAAAGAAGATGCCATTTGAACTCGGTCCACATTCATACTCCTTGGTATGAGCTTTTCTTTTGGCCAAACATTGATATGAGAGTTGGATAATTCAATTTGATTTGAATGATTTAATTTTTTTTAACTTCATTTTCTTTAAAAAAAATAGCAATTAAAATTTCCTTTATTTTATATTTTACACTCTTTGGTGGATTAGTATATTCTACACCTGTTAAAGTAATATATATATATATATATATATATATATATATGAAATGTATGAAACTGCTCTGTTATGAAGGGCAAGATTATGGGCATCTCATCTTATTCCGCCTTCGTACTCCGTAAGGCAGTATCACATAATTTACGCCTTCATGATCCAGACTTTGACTTTTTACCTATCATTATGACCGTTGCAATCGCCCCATTTAAAACTTCCAATTGTGACGCATAAACGCTTCTCCCGGTTAGCCGTATTAAGTATTTTCTCTATTTTAAGATATTTGTTACTTTTTTGTCAAAAAAAATATTTGTTATTTTATAATTTCAATGCATTTTTAAAATCTCATAAAACATTAATTATTTTTCTACCATTTTATCGTTTGCTAATAAAAAATATAACAAATGAAGCTCTATTTTTAAATATTTCATTAAATACGACATATTAAATACTCCAATTCACTCTGGCAAACCAAAAAAAAAATCCCATTCAATCTACTCCCTCCAATCATTATTATATTTATAACCACATTCATTTTAAGACTTAACCAAAAAAATTAATTTTAACTTATTTATTTATTTATTTATTTGGTGAAGGAATTTTAACTTTTTTTTAGTTCACATGAAAGCCTTATGTTGAAATGACAATTATTAAAGTAAGTTTTATTTGCTGTCCGCCTGTCTTGACATATAAGAAGATCAAATTGGATGCAACCGTTGGAAGGTTGAACCACAAAACAAAACCAAAAGTAGCGAAAGGCAAAGTCAAACCCGAACAGCTTGAATTGTTCTCAAGATGCAGAACGCAAGTTTAGCAGAGAGAAGAGGAGGAAAATAAAAGTTCGGAACAGAGTAATATGTTGGAGCAGAAATAATTTTGCAGACCATGGCTCAGAGATGCTGCGCCACATGGATGAACCACATTGCACATTATTAACAGTTCAAAGGATTGAGACAAGCGACGGAAAAGCATATATAACGCATATAGCATTAACAATTATATACATAATATTCACAAGAGATATCACCCATACATAGGTGCATGAAAGGGAGAGACATGGCTGCTATCTGCTGAATTGAATCCCATGGGCTTTCAAATTTGAAATTTTATGTACAGTTTAAAGTGTCCAGGATCTGCAATAAGGCGAACAAAGGCTAATCAGGGGAACAGAGAGACGGAAGAAGGAGATTACGTGCAGGTAATAAAACGAATGAATGACCGTGACAACACCTCATACGTTGCCAATTCACCGTGAATAAGTTTGTCTCATACCTGTTCTTCGCGTTTTTGGTAGCCCTATGTTGATTGAGTTTGTCCCTCCACAAAGCTGTCGTAAGCATTGAAAACATGAGGTGTATAAGTCGCACTTCACAGGTAGCAGTTTCACTTAGCCTGTTCCTACAAAGCTACATAACTAATTTATGAAAATTAAGAAAATTACTCAATTTGACAGGGTCCGGCATGACGGGCTCTCACCCTCTCCGGCACCCCCTTCTGGGGGCAGCACCTTGTGGGGCGATCCTCCCAAAAATAGGCCTATGCCACTTTAAGCAGCGACACAGTGAGCACAGAGCGAACTATTCTTTGGCCTTTTACGAAAGAATACCGTGTGCTTGCTCAATAAAGTGGCATATGCCTTTTGTGTAAAAACAAAAAAAATGTATTGGCTTTTTTAGAATACCTTATTAAAAATTTGTATTGGAAATTATCTCATTCATAGAAATAATTCTCTAATATGTGCAATTAATAGGATAAGTTGGGAAAAAATTACAAATTTTTAAGACAATGAATTGAGATATTACATTTAGAATCAAATTCTTATATTTAAGATTTGAGGGGGGATTGAAATATAGAAACATGACCTTGCAGGACTTCAATCCTAATTCAAAGAATGCACTAGAGAATCACTTAGCTAGATTGTTGGATTACCTGGACAGCCGAGCATCAGTCAGGAAGATAAGGAAAGACGGATAACAATGAAACCCATTTTTATAATAGCAAAAACATGTTTATCATGATCCTAATTACCTTTTCTGTTACAGGTTGTCTTACATATAAATAATGCCTGCGAGGGCTGACGAGCATGTAGCATACCATTTCGTTTTGATTCAACCTAAGTATTAAACGATCATAAAAAGGAAGTTACCAGCATCTTTATAGCGCTCTTCGACAACAGCTTTCATCATGTTGTGCAAGAGATTGAACTCCTGGGTTTCAGCACAAGGCTGACTGCTTGGCCTGCAATCGCATCCACTTCAGTTAACACTTGTCTTTCACCATGGAAAATGCGATATTTTGTGAGAGATTTCAAGATTTCCTTGATAAGAATAATGGAATATTCATTACAAGTGACACAGACAAGTCATACAACCTCATAAGGCATCTTTTTCACAAACCTACCGGTCCAGTTCAGCAAATAATAGACCATCTGAACCATGGGACTGTGCAGATAACTTGCCAGATTCAATTACTCTCATTCCGTCACTATAAGCCAAGTACTTGTTAACTTGTATTGGCACCTGCTACGTCAGTAAAACAGTCAAGTCTCTCATCACAAATAAGTCTAAAATAAACTAATAGATATGGTCCTAGTTTTGTGCGGGTGAAAAAATCACCAAGATTCTCCAAGCATGCCGATAGTACATTGAGGATAAGTATAGCTTGCCTAAATGTTGATCACACTTGCAGAAATTGGTCAAATTTTTTCCTCTTGCGGAACATAATTTTCACCAGCAATCAGGGGGCAAATAAATAATGTCCACGCAAGCAATAGGTGAATGCAATAAGCTTTGAGGTGCTTGTGTATTCATATTTTTTAATCCATATAGATTACCTTGCATCTTGCAGCTATGTTGATAGCATCTGAAGGTCGAAGATCGAAGCTAATACATTCATTCTCATTCCCAACCTATATCAAATCAGATAAGTCACACTATGTGCCTTTGTTCCTTCATCCAATTTGTGTGTTGGGGGAGAGGGGGAGGGGGTACACTGAAGAGAAGGGAAGAGAGGAAAGTAAATGCCTTCGTAAGATATAGTTGAGCAAAGTATGCCTCATGCACTCTCTTAGTAACTCTGGCAAGTCTGACCTGCAGAAGGAGAAAATACATCATGTGACTATCAATAACATCCAAAAATTCCAACAGAAAGACAATGATATAGCCAAGATCAGGTGTAAGATTATAAAGACTCATAGAATCATACTTCATAGCCCATCTTGTCAACCATCTCCTTTATAACTTGATACAGAGTAGGTCTAGCCTGATTCAGCGACCAACTAGTGAGTATCCATAAACAACGCTAATATTACGAAAAACTACAAACTTTAAAAACTAGACAGTTGACTGCATGAAAGACAGTAAATCAAGAAAGAAAATGTAAAATAATTATTGGTATAAATTTGAGGGTGGAATAGTGATATTGACCCAGGAAAAAAACATACTATTTGAACATTTCGTACTGCTGCCATTAGCAAAACGCTGGGCATCTCCGCTGCAATCAATGATGTGCTAAAAAATTACAATGGGAAAGATGTAGAATCATCACATCAGATAGAGACCTGAGTTTCTAAATGTTAGATATAAGAGTACGAACATACAAACAATTATAGGGAGAAGTAGACCGGCTCCATCATCCATCTTCAGTACAATTGCAGGATGTGGTGCGTAATCTGGCAAATGTCCTCCCTGAGGGTTGTTATGGACGCACCTTAAGTGTCTACCATCCCTCATTTTAACTACAAAACCATCTGCTCCACTCTTCACTTCAACTATATAGCACGATCAAGGAAAAACTCTTCCATGAGATTCCAAAAGGTGCAAGGAGAAGATCCAAAGATCAATTGTTTGTCAAATTTGTAGTAGCTAAACGTACCAGCCTCGATTACACTAGAGTTGACATAATCCTCATCTTTTTCATTGAAATTCCCCGCCATACTTCCGCTGCCATTTGAGGATGAGTTGAAGTTGCACTGCACTACCTTGCGCTTTCGTGCATTTATTTGGCAGAAGAGAATATTGGCCTTAGCTTTGCCGCGGCTGAATTCCTTGAGTCCCAAAAATTCGCTACGCATACAACTTGCATTTATTGGTCCAATCATAGGCAGGCTGCAGAATCCTGCTAGTGTGGTACGGGCAGAGGGGCACATAACTGGTCCTCGCAGATAACCCATAATAAATTCTTAAGACCTACCCAAAAAATTGATAATCAAGGCCGTATCACTGAAGCGGAACGTTACAATGGAATATAGGACAGTACAAGGCATTCAAGACTAGATATTTGTTTTTGGATTCCCGTCCGGGTTTGTAAAGAAAATTGCGGAGGCATTGCAGATATTTCAGTGACAACTGACAACGGAGAAAAGCACATAGATGCGACTTCCAATATGCAACTGGAACGTAAAAAGTATCTGGAACAAATGATAGGCTCTCTATTCATTATATAATGGTCCTTATTCCTAGCGAAGTGAGGAATAAAAGTTATACACAAATATGCCCCCGCAAAACATAACATCCAACTCCAAGAGAATTATTCCTGATAAGTAGAGGAAAAGAATAAAAACCCGCAGACCCGAAATCTCGCGTTCCTTTCTCCTTTTCATCAACTACTCAACCATAGAGAAAATGTAAATTTTTTGGGAGGAAAACCAAAGAGATGCCAGAATCATGTCAGTCAGCTCTCTCAAATCATTGAATATGAAATATCAGAATGTTTGTTGATGTGAATGATTTAAAACATAAATCGAACCTGGAAGGAATGGAAGCTCTGAAATTTTGCAAAGGTCTACAATCGAAAGACACTTCAGTCACCGATCACCGCAAGAAACAACGTGAAAAATCCCGTCACTTCCAGAACTCCAGAATCCAAATCGGCGGAAACGATATGACGGGTGAATATGTCTGAGATTGTTTGTTTGGTTTTGGTGACAAGAGTTTAGTAGGCGCAGAAAATCAAGACATACAAATCCAAATGAAAGATCTGGATATATACAGAGAAGGAAGAGATAGGAAGTCAGAGGAAGCTAAAATCAAGCATAGATGGAAGCGTAGAAAGTGGGTGAAATTGAGATTAATATTGAACGATCAGCCAAGATCGGATGAAGGGCGCGAGAGACGGGCTATTAGACAAGATTCTTCAATTGTTTTCAGACAAGGATCTTTAAGCTTATACGGTGCGAGAGGTTTGAGCAAGCGTCATACTATAAAGTGGTGTCACTCTTATGCCCCTGTCGATTTCGGTAATGTCACAATTCTGATTAATTTTGACTTTTCGACCAAACTAAACTTTAATCCTTCTTTTTTTTTTTTTTTAAAGCCAACCCATCTAAAATTTATTACAGTAAACTAAGTATAACAACCGTATAAAAAATATTTTGGTTGAAATTGGTTCCAGCGGAGTGCATGGACATATTTTCGTGTATAATATTTCATCCATTTCAATATTCTAAAGCATTTTTTCCAACAATGCCGACGAAAAATATAAAGCATTTTTTAAAAGGGGTGAGGTCTGAAAAGTAGGGTTTTTTTATGTAATTATGTTTTTTATAAAAGAAATCACTTGTGCACTATATGAAATAAAATTACTCTCATGTGTGCACCCTCTATATGCAAAGTTACATAAAATAAGTTAAACTAAACACATTGGAGAAAGTAACATACAAGAGAGGGAGCATTACATGCAATGATAATTATCATATATGTAATTTAATTTTTATGAACCTCGGATTTAGTTTTGACAAAAACAACCATATCTCTGTTTTTTTTTTCAAAAAAAACAAAATAACTGTCAAAGCTATGCTAGATAAAACAACTAGGCTTTATTTATTTAATTTTATTTGGAGTGAGACCTGGCGACTTAATTACTAGAAAGATGTTTGAATAGTGATTATTTTATTATGTATGAACAAGTATGTGAGATAAGTTGCGTCATAATTTACATATTTCTAACATAAACACCCCTTAAGCATCAGCTCCGTTAAGCAGAAGAAGCTGATACTCCAATCAAATTAAACTAAGGGAAAGGATCCGCGGTGGAGCCTGACAGGGGAAGAGTTTGCTCTGGGGCGGCGCCCTGCACGCAGGAGACGACAATCTATACAAATCATTGAAATTGAAATTCACGTAATCTCTCACACGCAGCCCAATAATTCCGTAATAAGGTTGCGGATTGTTAATTTTTGTTGGGATGTCTTTGTGAAATGGCCATGAGAGCGACATATATGGAGAGGGGAAATGCATACCATACTGGCGCAAAATGCCAACGTGATAAGACGAACGTAATAATCTTCCTCCCCTTCCCTTCCATTAAATTAAACAGAACGCAAAGGCCCGAGACCCACAAATCAAGTTACGGTTAAAAGAAGATAGTTTATTTTGTTTTAATGACGAAATTCAAATATCTTTTTTTGTTGTTGGTAAATATGAATAAAAGAAGTCACGCTTATAATGCGACACTCTCGTTTGTGGATGTTTGGAGGACATTTCATTCTCTTATTGCGTTTCCAAAAAACTATGTTGCTTAATGCCCCTCAGGCAATATTGCATGTTCAAATTTGACAGATAAAGAAAATTACGCTGTCAAGCATAGAATCCCTCGTCTTTCTCTTTCATCAAGCGTTCTGAAAATGCTGTTGCAGACTTGATTGCTCCCATAACCTCAAAGGGATGAACTCTCTTGGTTAGTTTCATAACCCTCATCCTCTTTTCATCCTATTCTTGTTGAGGACTCTCGTGAAAATTATGCTCATTGTCAAGGCCCTGAGATGAGGAAGATGAAGAAGGGATTGGTTAATATCTATTTTGCTCTTTTGTTCTCTTGTGCATGCCTCTGCCACTTGGCTTATGGCGTTTGTGAACCCTGCTTTTGCTATTTAACCGAATGAATTAACGTTCCCTCTTCAGGCCAAAATAAATAAATTTAAGCAGAACAATGATCCAGTGTAAATGGTAATACGGGACGTTGACTATTTGTGCAACTGCATAGACTGATGATTGACAAATGACAATTACTTTTGAAGAAAAATGAAAAAAAAATAGTTACTTGACAGGGTTAAAAAACTGCAAAGACGAAGATAAAGAAATAAGGAGAAAATCGCAAGAATGAACATACCCAAAGCTTATCTGTAATTATTGTTTTTTTTGGGTACAATGTAATTATTGTTTTTGTGGGCCGAAATTCCATGATTACTATCACCCAGTGCACAACAATTGGGCATGGGTATTCCTTAGAGAATCTGTACTTACAGGTAAAAGCCCAGGAGTTTGAAAATGAGCCCAGTGATCACTTGGACTCAGCTCTCAACGTGAAAGTTAACGAAAAGGGACAAATGGATTTGCAGCAAAAGAGGGACAAAATAGATCAGTACACAGGAAAAAGAAAACATGATGCATTAAGGGGTCAAACTTGGTCCATCCGCCCTTAAATCACAGAAAGACCAAATTTGGTACATTAACCAATATTCCCGGGTGGCAGGAAGGATCCCAAGATGAAGAAGTTCATCGTTTCCTCTTCGTTTCGCCACGAGAGGGTGGACATTTAGATTAGAAAATATAATGATGAAGGTAATCAAGGAAATAGTAATTCAGATACTGGGGATCACAGGTTGTCGGGGTGCCACACTGCAGTGGACGTGCGGGACAAGGGGACGAGACAGAGTCCTCGGCTTCTAAGGTCTTCCTCTGTCGACTGCCCTGCGACGTCGTCTTTGCCCCAACCCTGACATTATATTATCAATTCATACCACGCCTTCCAATGTCAGTGACTGTATTTTGTGTGTGTGTGTGTGTGTGTGGAGAGAGAGGGAGGGAGGGAGGGAGAGAGAGAGTACGGCCACAAAAACTTGCAATCAAACATATGCTTACCCTTTGCATCGCTCTGCTGTTCTGATTCCGTGATGACTTCTTCATGTATGGAACGCTGAGCGTCTACCAGTTATTAGTACTCAATTATCAGCATGCATTGCATATAAAATTTATAGTAAATCGTATATTTCATATCCCATCATATACCTCAACTTGGCTTTGAAGGAATTTGATGTATCCAATAGCCTCCATCAGCACTGACGCTGTGTCGGTCTGCAAAACACATATCCACAGCCACAGGCTAACTCTCATCATTTTTTTTTTGGTAAAAATATCTTAGAAATAAGTATCTAAAAAAAACCCACCTTTAGTTAGCGTAATAATTTGAAAATTGGTCTTGTGTGAGAGTAGATTTCACCCTACGTACCTTGCCAAAAGGAGCCACCAGCTGCTGAAGTGCCGCTATCCTGTCTCCTACTTTCTCTTTCCCAACCTTAAGTGTTGACAACAATTCAATAATGCATGCAAACGCACCCATATTAATTATGAAATGATAATCTCAATTACCCTAAAGCTTCTGTTTAAGCATGTCGATCATATCATTTGGGATACCATCCCATATTATAATTATCTGAATAAACTACGAAACTTCAGTCTTGTAAAACTGATTTGGCTGGTCCGTAAACGCCTAGGAATTGTTGCGATCAATTATAATGACCGGAGTAGTAGAATTAATTCAAATTGTTTCGATTGAATATACATTTATTCTACAAAAGACGCATCAGATAGATGTGTTCAATGGGCACCTTCAATGGTGGGCACGATGAGCGTGATTCTGGTCGTAATTTCTTTGATGTCGCTTGAGATTGAGAAGGCTTTGACTCCACGGAGGTGCTGGGCCTCTTCGTTTCTACCATGGCGCCAGTGAAGTGCGAGGACTATGTAACATGAAAAGAGTAATAATAAAAACAAGTTAAATAATAATTAAAGCGTGTCTTTATCAAGAAGCCGCAAGCGAAGGAAAAGAAAGAAATGAGAGAAACTCTGATGGAGGACGTACGGGATCAATGTTTAAAGTTGATTACGGTGTGTCTATTGTTCATTTGTTGCTATATTATAAATAGAAACTCCGGACATCTTGGGCCTACGAAATTCGTCAGCAAGACGAGAACATTTGAGAAGACTTTTATGCCCGGTTGGGTCACATTATGGATTGAAGTCTCCATTAAAGTTTAAATGGTAGTGTGACTATAGCTACTATTACACGGGTGGGGAATCTACTGCTGACGCAACTAGTTGATTAGTCCATGGCAGTGATATGTGTGTATGTGTGTAGTGTTATTTGACTTAAAAGCAGGTGCAAAAAAAAAAATTAGGAGGAAGGAGGCCGGCTATATAATCCTGTGACATATAAAGCAAGCAAGCTATCTATTTTTGAAGAAATTAAAGAAATATAATACTCACAGTACTAGAGCTATACGTCGAGGACCGGTCAACGTGGTTCTGCAAATGTAAAGAAAGGCAGGAATCTGCACCAAGTGTTGATGAGCTTAATGGCTCTGATGAGGCATTGAATCTCATGTCGGATGAGGTCCGTGAAATTGCTGGGGACGAGTGGTTTAAATTAGAGATGTTGATAGTGGGATGAATCTGGCTGAAGTAGCCCCTACTTGATGCTCCCAATCCACCAGCACTGGTGGAGTAGAAATCTGAGGAAGCGAGGGTGTTAAGCAAAGGCTTCTCTCTAACACAATTCAAATGATCTGTTGACTCCTGAAACCCCCGGTAGTGTTGTTCCCAGTCGTTTAGCGTTTCTGTGCACATCTCTTCCTTTATTAACCAGCTTTCTGCACCACCGCGGAATTCTAAATTTTGGATCATACAACTGTTGAGAGTTGAATCTCGTGATCTGGAGGCTGCTTCCTGGACGATTTGGTTCAAGTTACCAGCATTCCTACGCATACAGGGTATATATTTCTATTATATACTGCTTAATCACAGAGCTAAACAAGTACCTATATGCTGATATAATAAGAGAAAGACCTACTCCATGTGCATTTCCACAATAATTCACAAACGCTTTCTTCCCCATGTACAGTTCTCAGAGCAGCTCGTTCTTCCACTGATTTATGAGGAAGAAAGAAGAAGGAAAAGAGGAAGCACATTTCTCATGGTAAACTACAAAATCAATCTAGTTTCCCTAATTAACTGTTGCGAGAAACAGTTGAATAGTAACCTAGCCAACTGGGAAGAAAATAAATAAAGAAATAGAAGGAACTTACGAAGAGATTTGGGGAGACCAAGAATGTATGTTTTGAATCACGTAACAATTAGACGGCGTGGCAAAAGAAGTGGTGTCAGGAGGCTGAGGTTGGTGGTGAAGGTTATGGAGATCAGTAGATTCCATAACTGTAATGAGATGATATAGACGGATTTAGAAAGAGGAAAGACGAGCTTGAAAATGCCAAGATGATGAGCAGTTAGTGATTAAAATCGAGAAGATATTTGGGCGAGGGGAATCTGGGTGCGTAAGATTCAGAAGATCAATAAACACAGTCGTGGGTGGCTGCTTTTCCACGCTTTTCTGAGGAGGTCTATCTTTACTCTTTGGGGCTTGCATACATCAGACTAACCAAAGTAATCTCGGAAAGAAAGGAAGAGAATGCGTTGTCGATCGATGCCTCTGTCTGACTTCAAAACAGTAGATAATAATGTGGTTTTAGGCCAACTAGTTATACTGCACTAAAATTAGCTCTAAAATATGGTGTATATAATTAGTGGATGCTCTACGCGCGTGTGTGTGTATTTGCCCATGCACTGACACTGTGTCGTGTCTAAACAAAACTTTGTGGCTTTTGCGGTGTGTTAAATGAATAGCGGTAGAGGGAGATGATTAGAGGGATTACAAGTAATAATCACCTCCCAACTCCAAAGCCCTCCATTGCAAGGTGTCCTTGTTTTCTTTTCTTTTCTTTTTTTTCCCAGAAATTAAAATCCACAAAATCAATATATATATATCCATCATCATATTTTCATATGCAATTGGCCATTACCTGTTATTAAAAAAAAAAAAAACAGTTGCTTCCCTTAAGTTTCCTTATCTCACTAACCAAACTGTACGTAAAATTTGATTTTGCTCTACTCGGGAATTCAGACTAAAATCCAGCGGCAGTCTAGCACTAAAGTAAAGGTGCTAAACAATTTTAAACACACGCTTACAACGAAGATTATACGACCAAAATTTCTAGTACGAATCTGTGCCAGATTATGAACTCTGCACATGCATTGCATGTATATCATTTTGACCCGAAACTTAAAGATAATTTAATTTACTTCAAAAACTTAAAGGAGAGGAAAATAAAAAGGGAAGCACAAAGTGAATTTTAGTACCGCATCATTCATGCATATAGATCTATTATCTCTGAATCAAGTGTTTTTTGTAGGTGAAATTTAATTAATGTCGAAACTATTATTCATTATCATCTACATATGATTATATAATTTGGGTAATTAAAGTATTACTGTTTAGAATTTGAGGACATAAAATAGTAATTATGCTACAGTTTAAGAGAATTATTTGTGTGCATGTGTGTGTGTGATTTATTCCATTGTGCCTGCATAATCCGGAAGGAGGGAAAATTTGGTCAGCCCCATATAATAGGTGACAAGAGACTAACATGAGATCAGATTGAGAGCATGGGCAAGCTCCACTTTGCTTTTACCACTTTTCTTCTCGATCTTGCCCTTCTGCCATGTCCACCCAACTGATACCCCATGTCCCCCTCTCATTCCATCTCCTCCTCCCTCCCTCTCTGCCTCTATATGCATGCGTGCGCGCGAGTGGAAGAGATCATTTTCCCTTCCCTTCCTTTAAACTTTAATTCTTTCTTCTTTCTTATTATTCATTTCTTTTTCTTCTCTATCGATCTTTTCATTGTCACCTTTGATTGATTCGCAGATTTCATATATAGGGCCGCTACATTCCAAAATTTTATCTAATTAAAGCTGTCCATACTCAAAGTTTTATGCTCTGGATGACCTTTTTGCGAGCCATCAAAAGATTTACCTCCCCAAGAGTCAATAATATATGCTGTTTTTCATCTTATTTTATACTACTATGAGCTACTTATTCTCTACTCATTTTCACCAAGAGAATAAAATAACAGTCTCTCTAGGGCTTTGGGCATTGATGCTTAGCTTGTCGAGTTTATATCAATGGCATAAAGCTGCCGGAGCAACGGTGTGGATGTGTACATAATTAAATAGATGCAAGCTTTTCTTCGATAGTCGATATGGATATAAAATATGAAGTAATGTAAGGCCGATCAGTGAACAGTCCTTGAGATATGCTCTCATCAAAAGGTGAGATCGCAAAATGCACATACTCTTCAGTTTTCAGCGCTAAATTCTGATCGAGACGCTCAAGTGGAGCTTCCTATGAACGTATAGTTTATTATGTCTCTTTGCATCGGTCAGAGTGAATTCCATTTAAGAATTTGAGATACACACACATATTGCACACTGCCAGATTCCTTCTGGCTTCCCTTTCTCAGTAACATGCGCTCATTCACCGAAAGGCCTAGCTGATGAATAATGATCGCGAATTGATACAAAGATTATTATTCATGCAGGCTTTTAATTAATGACGCAGAGAAACCCGTGCTTAATCATAACCCCACAAGAAACAATGTGTATGATTCGTTGCTTTATGAGGGTCCATTCATGATTATGATCAAATGGAACGTAACGCTGATCCTTTTCTTTTACATAACCACTCAAACCACTCAAGGTCAACCACCCATGGCGATTCCCCTTATCCTAGGATTTAACTTCACCGTGAAAGTTTCAGACATATGATTCACGTATCCTGATTATTTACCACTATAATTAAAAGGAACGTATTGCACAAAAAGATTTGTTTGAACTTTTTTTTAAAAAAATTTTTGGTTTGGTTTATGACGTCGGTTATTTGAAAGAAAATTCTCAGCTTTCCCTTCCTTCCTGATGACGTCCACTTCACCATCAGCGACCCAAAAGAAAAGGAGAGATATCTCGTCCATAATTCACAATAATGCAACTATGGTCATTTAGATGTCTGAAGCAAGTCCAAGGCGCACCACTGCCTTCCGGGTTTTTCATTTTCTTCTCTTTTAACCTTTTTCTAGGGTCTAATGGTAGAGATTCCAAGGCCTTTATTACCCTTGGCGTTTACTCACTAACTTTTAACCTTTCACGACCTTTCCATGTTTCTCTTTTTTTCAGGTGAAAGTTGCCGTGGAGGGTTCTTCACACTGCGACACATATACAATAATTGCCACCATACTTCCAGTTGCCTTTTTTGTGCAGGAAAAAGGGCAAAAATATCCTCCCGGGGCGGTTATTTAATTTTTGGATGCAAGTATGCAAATCTCTTGAGAGGTATATATATATATATATATATATATATATAATATGGACATTAAAGTTTTTTTCCTAGTCGCAGATAATTGTCAACCCTGTGAAATAAGCTTATGTATATATATGCTCTTTCCTTCATCAATTATTTAGCCTTGAAGCCGGGATGATTATGCTTTGCCTCATATAACTTGAATAATGAATTCTTTTGAAGTGTAGGTCTTTGGTAAAAACCTGAAAAGCAGGTCCAAAAGCAGCTGGGTGCAAAGTAATTAGAGAAAAAGACAAAGCCTTGAAACAGAAGAATATATGCTTTTCTCAAGCATAGGGGCATGAAATGAAATGCAGCATTGTGGGGTGTCACGCTCCAGTTGCTTTCCACGTCCGCTAAACCGAATATATCACCCACACAGCTGATATTGAGATGTGGTCTTTATCATCCTACTGTGTCTAATATAGGGTTCCTACGCGTTCTGAGAATGGTAGGGAAATTTGATTGGGCAGTGGTGTGTCACAGTTTCCTGCTTGGGGCAAACCAATTTGATCAGAAATATAAAGCCATGGCTTCCCATTTATGAGCAAAACCCTGGTGGGCGCTTCACACAAGTCAAAAGGTGTTTCCAGTAAGAATAAAACGGGAGTCATGAACTGGAGAAAAGTACGATGGATCACATTCACGTGGATCTCTCTCAAGGCTGTCTACCGCAGAATAAAATGACCGTACCGAGCCATATCTTCAGGAAAGGCATTGGAAGTGACCATAATAAATTTCTCCAGTCTCTTGATAACATAAGGAAAATAAATGAGCGAGAACGGATGTGTTGTGAGCGGAATTTGGACAAGTAATTCATTTGATGCCAAAAACCAAAATGAGGGTTTGAATGTCGAGGAAAGCAACCATATGAAACAAGTAGTTTAAGTTCATAATGAAGGTCCCTCCTCCATCCGTAGAACACCTAGTCAAGGAATTCAATTATGACTTTTGTAATTACACTACATATACTGACCTAGGTCAAAGTTTAGTCAAGACCAAAAACTATATCGGACTTGGATTCTCTCCAATACCTTCCCATTATCTTTCCTTCCACTACCCTTCTTTTCTCTTCACAACCATTGGATCAAAATTCCAATGGTTCAGATTTAACATCTTATAAAAATAATGTTATTAAAAAATAAATAAATAAATTTAAACTGTTAAAATATGGTCTGAACAATTTACAATTGTAATAAAAAAAATTAAAAGAAATTGCTCTATAATAACAATCTGTAGTTGTGAACTGTACATATTAGATTTTAACAGTTTAAATTTATTTATCTATTTTTTATCATAATATTTATTTTTATAAAATGTTATAAAACATTAAATCTGAACCATTGAAGTTTTGATCCAATAGTTGTGAAGAGAAAAGGAGGGTAGTGAAGAAGAAGAGGATGGGAAGGTAGTGGAGAGAATCCAATTCCAACTATATCAAGGTGCAAAGATTCATGGAAATTACAATTGTCCAGAGTCAAAGCACCTGAACCGCTATATTTATAATCTATTGAAATTAAAAAGATATCATTATGAGGACAATAATGAAATAATCTGGTAATACTAAATACCACCTCTGATCTTAATTATAAGATTTCATTTATAGACTAGAAATACGGTCTTATAATTAGGACCGTAAGTAATAAACCATACCATAGATTGTAATCCAGGAAAAAGCTGCACCAACTACCAGGGGTTAATTGACCGACCACTTCTTCTACCTAGGTCAGTTCTTCACTATGAGCAAGTTACATCTCTGAATGAATTACCAGTATGATAACTCTTCATTTGAATGGTCCCATCTATCTCGCTATAAGTGTAAATCACTATATCCTGGAAAAAGAAAATTAACAGTCGGCTTTAAAATGTTTTATTATGGATGCATTAACAAAGTGAGAGGGAAATTAATCTAGCAGATTAAAAGGAAAACCTATAAGAACTCGATGCTCACACTAGAACTGAATGTAACGCTTATTTTGTCAAAACATCATCAAAATCTTGACCTTCTTCGTATTGCCAGTTCATTTGGGACAACAGACTATGTAATAACGGTTGCAGCCAAATTTTTGGTTCCTTGCTACAGATGTAACAGCTTTACGAGTCACTGGCCCGGGGGGGGAGGGGGAAAAAACAGCTTTGCAAGTCGCACTCCCACCCGATCAGGGGACGATCACTTATCGATCAAAATTTCCATCTTTAATGGACCTTCATACTTTTGGCCAAAAAAAAAAAAGGACGTTCATACGTTTTTACAACACACAAATGAAAAAGGCAAAATAATAGACGGCTCTCGAAGTCCAAGCACTGCGCAGCAGCAATAGAAAAGAAAAGGCAGGCATACAATCATGGAAGACGATATTCTCGCCTCTCTGTAAATGCACGAAGCGCTGGGAGAGCGTGATGACGCCTCCCTTTGCTTCATCTCTGAGTTGCCTAACTGCTTTACCTCATTAGCTGATCGCGACTTCACCGTTTTCCCTTGTCCATGGACTTGTCTCCTTTACTAAACGGGTCGGTTCCGGCGTCGGAACATTGCCACGTCGGCGCCTAATTGTTATCCGTGGATGGCTGACCCGACACCTCCTCCCAGGCCATTTCAGTTCAACCCAGCCCAATTAGCCCATTATAGTTCTAGTTTGCCCCATGACGAAGTTTTCCTGGTTTTAATATAAGTAAAAGGATAGGATACATTATAGGGAGATTTACAATTAAGACCCAGACAAGAGAAATACTTTTCCAGTCCTTAATATAAGACCTATTTTACTAATTTGATTAGATTAACAGATTTAGATAAATTAGTTAATATGAGACCTGTTATAAGAAATATGACATATTTTTTCTAAAATACCATAACCATCTTTCTTAATATTCTTTCTCCCTCACTTACTTGATTATGGTTGAGGAAATATCCATATGGATGATTTAAAAAAATTAATAAATATAATAAATATGTCTTATATTTAAGATCAAGATTAACTTAATAATTAAGTCTTATATTAAGGACCGGAGGAGTAATTGCTAAAAAGTTCTAATGAGAACCTAAGCGGCTTGCAATAACAAATTCTATAATGGGAAATAATAACATTTGGGACTTGTTTTGTACTTCTTTTCTTTTCTCGGGACTTCATTGTAATTCTTCCTACATTATATTATCATCAGGTCATCATCAGCAAAAAAAATCAAAATCAACTTTTCCTAGCAAAATGTAAGAATAAGATTCAATTAAGCTCTATCTCCGGTCAAAAAACAATTTCTATATCTATGTAGTACAAAAATTTAACAAGTCGTATATATTAATCATATTTCAAATTTTATTCAATGCTTAGAAATTATAATTAATTACTCCTCTGATCCCATATATAATGTAGAGAGAAGAAGATTTTTTGGACTTATTCACTTATGTCTGTATTATTTTACTTTTACAAAAATGACAGAAAAATAATTATTGAATTTGAAAATTCCTATATAGTCAACTGAATAAGAGAAATCCCCATTTAAACACACTTGATTTGTCATTTTATTAAATTATAAAACCTTCATTTAGTTATGTGTGCCTAAGTGAGAATTTTTTTTTTCAAGCGATTATTTGAAAATTTTCAAGTTTAACAATCATTTTTCTATTTTTATTTATTTTTTATTTATCATTGTGTGGATTATTATTTTCTTAAAAATTATTTATATTAAAAAAAACAGAAAAGTTGTTAAACATTTTTTTATCTGGGTAAAAAAAAACATAAATTTTGCCAGAGGAACAAATTTTAGGTGTGAAGAAAGATGCCACCACGTGCCATGGTCCCTTGACATCGCGAGATCCGAGTAATTATTATCTCTGCTGAATAGTATTGGGCGCAAGGATCCAGCGACGTCGTATTAAAGTTTGCCTATATTGGCAACCGTATCTACGAGAGGGACGATATCGCCACTCGCCAAGAACGGGTCCCCTCATGGCCTCTGGATGATTGAAACACCCCCCCCCCCCCAAAAAAAAAAAAAGTGTCGCTGGAGGGAGGAAAACGCGGGGCTGAGGGTGTGAGATTCATTCCTTTCAGAAAGTCCAAAACTATTCGTCGCTTGCTGGTCCGATCTCGACGACATGACGAATCTTCATCGCTGACAATACCTATGCATTCTATTCCTTACATAGAGATCGAAGCGAACTTCGGCTCAGAGCATTCTAACGCTCGGTAGAGCTCCTTCAAATCTGGGTCTGTACTCAAGTGGAGTAAAGAACTGAGCTTTGGTGAAGAATCCATTGATTTGAAGAGGGAATTGGAGTGAATCAACGTCAATTCTTCTTGGTTTGTGGTATTGATTTGGTTGGGTAAGAAATCAGAATTTTGGGTTCAATTTCGACAGCGGAAGGATGTTGTGGGAAAATAAAGGCAAAATTCTACCATGTATATGTTGAAATTGAAGGGAATTTGCTGTACTAGAATCATAAAGTTCTTGTTTTTGTTGTAAAGGTAACTCTTTAGTATCATTATTATTATGGTTATTTGTTATATTCCTTCCCCATTTAGAAATTACAGTTTGCTTAAATAATAACTCGCTAACGCTTTTCTTCCCATTATTTTTTTCCTGTAAATACACTTTCTACCTTGGACAGATCTCTGTGTAGTAAGGAAATGAACGATCTTTATCTTCATCCTGAACCCCTCAAAAGAATTTTTCCCTTGTTTGGGTGGAGAGTTGGATATAGATTATGCTTGGTGCCTACTTTCTTAGGATTTTAGTCTCTATCAAGACCGTCAATTTTAGATTAGTGATGGAGGTGTGATGAAAACCACCTTTTTTCTCTAAAATCATGCTCATTATTTTTTATTCTTTACTGAAAGTCACTGTATGAGGGATCCTTCTTCAGGACTTTGAGTATGCTTATATTGACTTATCCTTTTCCCCCCTTCACAGCACTAAAACTCAATGGATCTTGATCGAATTGGTGATAAGTAATATATTAGCAATGCCCTTGTGATCAGTTATCCTTGATGAAGTACGATAGTATGAAAAAGTGAGACCTTTTTTCTGTTAATTTGCAGGGAATGGCGACTCCTGTGGAGCCTCCAAATGGGATCAGAAGTGAAGGCAAGCATTATTACTCCATGTGGCAAACCTTGTTTGAGATTGATACAAAATATGTGCCCATCAAGCCTATTGGTCGAGGAGCGTATGGAATCGTGTGCTCTTCAGTGAACCGAGAAACCAATGAAAAAGTTGCCATTAAGAAGATACAGAATGCTTTTGAAAACCGGGTTGATGCTCTAAGAACTCTGCGTGAATTGAAACTTCTCCGGCATCTCCAACATGACAATGTGATTGCTTTGAAAGATATCATGATGCCTAATCATAGAAAAAGTTTCAAGGATGTGTACCTGGTTTATGAACTTATGGACACAGATTTGCATCAGATTATCAAGTCTTCGCAAGCACTATCTAATGATCACTGCCAATATTTCCTCCTTCAGGTATGAAACTAGATTTTGGACCAACTGAAGTATTCACATGGCAGCTTCTAATGATTCATTTTTTGCATTTATGAACAACTTAATGGTCATGTGTTTTTTTTTCTGTACTCTAGTTTAGCATTCTGGAGTTGACTGTAACCAAGAATGTGGTATGGACTTATTCATGATGTTGTTATCCTTTGGCCTATTTTCCTGGTAGAGTCCGGCTCAATATGTTTGGATCTTTATTTAATTTTGTTTTTTTGACAAATTTGTGCAGCCCTCTTTTTATGTGATTTGGTCTGCAGCATTTTTGGCTGTTCACTCTAATGCTATTTTATACATCAAAATTTCGTTAATTTATAATCTATAATTTATTCTTCTTTCCTGAATAACTAATCATCCTGTAGTCCATCTATATGGCTTTATGGAAGACATGATAGTTTTGTTTCTTAATTGATCATTGCACTCACTAACACACCAGTTCCCGTGTGCAGTTGCTTCGGGGCTTGAAGTATCTTCATTCAGCTAATATCCTTCATCGTGACTTGAAGCCTGGGAATCTCCTAATCAACGCAAACTGTGACCTAAAAATATGTGATTTTGGGTTAGCACGCACCGGCAGCACCAAGAACCAGTTTATGACTGAGTACGTTGTCACTCGGTGGTATCGAGCACCAGAACTTCTGCTTTGCTGTGACAATTATGGGACATCTATTGATGTCTGGTCTGTGGGATGCATCTTTGCAGAGCTTCTTGGGCGAAAACCTATTTTCCCTGGTTCAGAGTGTTTGAATCAGCTGAAACTAATTATTAACATTCTTGGCAGTCAAAGGGAGGAGGATCTTGAATTCATTGATAATCCGAAGGCAAAGCGGTACATCAAATCACTTCCATATTCTCCAGGAATGCCATTTTCCCGGCTTTACCCGAACGCCCCTCCATTGGCAATTGATCTACTGCAGAAGATGCTTGTTTTCGACCCATCAAAGAGGATTAGTGTTACTGAAGCACTTCAACACCCTTACATGTCCCCTCTATATGATCCTAACAGCAACCCTCCAGCCATTGTTCCTATTGATCTCGACATGGAGGAAGATTTGGGGGAAGAAATGATAAGAGAGATGATGTGGAAGGAAATGCTTCATTACCATCCTGAAGCTGCTACAGCAAATACAGTGGTGTGCCCATGATCTTATTTTCTTCAGTTTTCTCGTGTTGTTCTTTTTCGTTGATGCCGAGAGAAGTCTAATAACTTAGTTTGCTCTAAATAAGTAGGAAGGCTTTGATATCAGTGAGCTTAATATATGTTCTGTTTCCTCTTTACGGAGGACCAAGAGAACAACAGCAAAAGAAGGTCGTACTGGGGGGTCATCCATTACTGTGTTCTAATGGTAGATGGTAGCTATTAGTTTGCATGAGAGCAAAACTCCATTTTTGGTTCCTTAGATCGAGTATTTCTCAATTTAGTCCCTCACAATTTTTCTCATAAACTTTTTTTCTTAACCTGATTATCCACAAATAACTGTTGTCATTAATGTCCTCTTGGTAATCTAATGTTCATTTATCTGTGCGGGACATTATTGATAATTGTTATTTACAGGGGATTAAGTTAAGAAATACTCCCACGTAAAGGAGAAAAGTGAAGAGACAATTATGAGGGATAAACTTGTGAAAGTAATCTGTGAGAGATTAAACTGTAAACCACTCTATTCATGAGAGACCGAGTTGGGGTTTAGTTTACTGTTTACATGTTCAGAGCTCTTTTATATCTGAGCTAGTAACCGGGTTTGAGTTGTCTATAAGGATGTTTCTAATGCCTTTTTTTTCCTTCTAATGTTTTGGAAACTATGTAAATTTGGTCTAACGCTTATCAATATGATTATGATGTATGATTAGAGAAAGAAAATGCGTTTTTGTTTCTTTTTGGTTCAGCATGGAATTAGGGCATCGCTCTGTGCCTGACTGCTTAGGAGTAAGGGTTGGGGAGAGATGGATGAGAGTTCTCATGTAGACAAATATCGATGAATATGATATGAGGGGGTTGGAAAATTAGAAGGGATGCGGGTGGATGACTAGGACATGTTAGGATCACAGGTCATTCAACCAGGTCATCATTGGGCGGCATTAAAATATGATTTTAAAGTCACAAGTTAGTTTTAACATTTTGCTTCGAATGTTTTTAACTTGTTTGACTTCCGTGATTGAGTGATTATTAGGTGGGCACTGACAATGATGATTTGGGCTCGTTGATTATCTCCTGTGAATTTGCCACGTTCTTGTGTCGGGTCACGTGTGCTTGTTTTGAAACTACCTTTTCCTTGTTTGATTTTGAAAATGAAATTGAATGTTCATCCAAAAAAAAAAAAGAAGTAATAAAAGGGTTTTTCTTGATTAAAAGATACTTTTTATGTTCTCGAAAAAAATAATTAAAAAAATATACGATTATGAAGAATTCCTATTTCCCCGGAAAAAATATTATGAGGTTGGCCGATCTTTCAAAAGAGGAACACGAACATGGGGATGGGATGAAATGAAAGGAGTCAAGTTTTGCACTGTGCCCGGATTATGAAACTAAATGGGCCTGTCAATAATGGATAGGGGGAAGCAAGCCCACTCTCGTATTTGTGGATTTTTCGTCGGAAAACTACATTTAGTTAATTTGATTGTCTAATTATAATATTAATGCGTACATTTTAAAACTTAATAATTTTTTTAAATCCTAAAAAATGTTTTTTAAAAAACAAACTAGGTATTTATCTTCTAATAGGCTAAGGTATTAAAACAGGGTAATTGCAAATATCGTTGTGATAATTCAAAAGTCCATACTAGGAATAGGTGTTTGGAAATGAAAATAAACATGAGCATACTTGGTTGTTAAAGGGATTGTTTAATTAGGTGTGAGGAGGGGGGATAAAAAGTCAAGGGCACATTACACGTGCATCACAGGTGACGAAAGGCTCTGATCCAACGCTTCAAGTGGGATTTGGCAGATCAAAATTTGGTGGGTTTCGGGATTCAGCCACCCACTTCCTACAGCACTTTTGTTGAATATAATGCCTTGGCGTTTTATTCTTTTGACATCAACGCATTCTGGCAGGTGACCTGGTCTTCCTCTAGTTCTACATATAAACCGCTGGCCGGTTTAAGTTAACAAGGTAAAGTTGACGCCAATTTGTTGTGAGCATTTGGATCGTAGGCATTTAGTTTTATTAGAATTGAGATGGCAACCGAGAATCAACAGGAATTAGATTCAGTGTGGGAGGTTAGTTTCTCACTAAATTCAAACTAATTAATTGCGCTAATCTTCTCGCGCTTGTTTTATCCAGCCCCCGGGAAAAAAAACATATAGTTGAGGACGGAGCTAGGCCTGAGGCAGGAGCATTCCATGAATTTAAGAAACGGCAAAACATCAAGCAACGAACGGGGTTACGTTGCGAGAAACAGATATATTAGGAAATTGGTTCTCCTCATCACTAGGGCGAAGGTCGACACAAATGTGGAATAAAGATCTGGATCTGATGGTATTTAAAAATATAAATTAGGCTGCAACTTTCAAATATTGGTGTAAATGGCTCATGATGACTATATATATATAATGAAGACAGAGGAGAACAAGCGCTGGACATAATCACATAGAACCATGAAAGCCATTAAAAGGCAAATTAAAGAGAGGAAAAACAAGAGCCAGTACGGCGGGAAAAATAGGAAAAGACGAATGGATGAATATATATATATAAATTTCAGCAACTGCGCCACTATAGACAAGATGGGAGAACCCCACAAAGATGCGGGGAAGATCGCATGGTCGGGCGCATTCGCGTTCTTCGTTGCGAAGGAAATAAACTAGGTATACGGAAGATGAAATGACAGCACTGACTAGCTAGCTCCTAGCACGTGCTTTGATTTAATTCGCATTGCCCTTTTGCTTTGGCAGGCGCACAATGGCTTTATAAATGCTTTAGATAGTTGCAAGCTAATTAGCAGGCAGTACGGGAGAGTGGTTCTGAGGGTTAAAGGCAGATGACGATAAAGCAGAGCGGCTTGCTTCACATGAATGGGTGACCCCCACACGCACAGTAGAAGGTTGCTTATTGACAAAGGGACACGGCGGCTTCAACCTGTTGGGCCATTGCCCTTTCCTATCGCAGCAGCAGTCTCGTTAGTTTCGTGAATGGAGTCATCATGGGACTCAGGGGTATGCCTATAATCTGACCGGGTCATCTCCATCAAATTATACTCATCCGATCCTTAATATAGGATTTAATTTTTAAGTTAGTTTTGATTCTAAATATAAGACTCATTTTTCATATTTATCAATTTTCTCTAAATTACCCTTATGGATACTCCTTCAATTATAATTAGGTAGAAGAGGGAGAGGAAGTATTAAAAAAATGATTATGATGTTTTAGAAAAATATGTACTTTTTTTGTAATTAACTAACTTACCTAACTTCTTTAATTTAATCAAATTAATTAAATAAGTCTTATATTAAGAACCGGAAGAGTAATATACAGACACGAAATTGAGTGACGATGCAACAGATGACTTGTCCGAGAGAGAGAGGGAGGCGAAACTACCTTCAGACTTCATGTTTGGCTTTCACAAAAGTGGAAAGAGACTTCATGCGAGCCGACCAACCGACCATCCACTCGCCTTTCCACAATACGCGTCTCCCCCTTGGAAAAAACTTCGTGCATCTCTTCTTCACATCCAAACCGATCCACGTTAATGTCTCACAATTCCTCCACTACTGCTACAGAAAACAATTTTATCGTTAATTAAAAAGAACTTTTCACGATAATTTTTGAGAAGTAGTAAATGCTGTCCATATTATAAGCAAGCACTTCACGACGGTTATAAATTGTCATAAAAAATTAACTTTCTATCCTAATTTTATACAAATAACTATCATGGAAAGTCCGGATTTTTTATGAAAGTTATATGAATAGATGCCATGCATCACCGTTCACTTTTCTTCCATTCATATTATGTGGGGCCAGGATTCAACCTTCTCCCATGCACCCTGATGCTCACGTGTTATCTTCTTCCCAGTTACTTAAATCCAAATGATTCAGCACGATGGTGAGAGCGAAGGCTGGAGAGCACGTAAACTGCAAAGGCATCCGGGGGAAAAAAAGGTGGGGGGTTGTTTTCCCAGCGGGATGGGCCCCGCGACTCCAGAGGCAGATATCTCCCTCCTCTCTCACTGGTTTCTGTTACCCTTTTATTGGCAAAGCCTGTCTCTTTATGTTTTGAAAAAAATTAACTAATAAACCCCTCTATCGCGAGCATATTATTTGTTTTGGATCGTTTATAAGCAAAAAATTATGGCTTCAACTCCTATTCAAACTGGTCTTTGAATTTGATGGGCTAGTTTCTTCGCGTATATTCGCACCTCCCCGTGTTATATATTACTCCTCCGGTCATAAATATAAGACCTTGAAGAGTCCTAAATATAAGACCCTTATACGCATTAGTATAAGGGTTTTATATTTAAGACAGAAGGAGTAGTTTTTTTACACAGTTGCATGTGAATTACTCAAACTCTGGCTCCAACAAAACATCGGTTGGGGATTTTTTTTTTTTTTTTTTTTAATGGCTGCAATGTCATGTGGTTCACGAAAGTGACAGTCACAAAATGACACGGAAGCCGAGCTGTAAAGTATCCATTACCTCTGAAAGAAGACATAAAAAACTTGAGATAACACGACGAGTATCCTCCTCATTTTTATGTTTCTGAATTAGAGGGTGTTTGATTTTCGTAAAAACACTTTTTAAAAAATATCTTTATATAAACTGAAATAAAATTTTTTCCACCGAATTTTAATTCAAAATTTTCAATTCTGCATTTTTCTTTTTTTCCATCCAATTTAGAAAAAAGATTTTGATTGGCTTGAAAATATCAACCAAAAAAAAAAAAAAGAGGGTTTGTCACCCAAGCCCTTTTTTAATATCTCCATTTGTAGTTATTAGCGATAGGGAGGTTACAGGTTAGTCGCTCTTCGCAGGCTGGGGCTGAGTGAGTTGATCCGTCACGTTGCCTTTTTAAATGGAGTTAAAAGTTAGGAAGAACCATAATGATATCTCAAAAAAAAAAAATTACAGAATAAATTTCAAAAGTACTTGTGATATTATTTGCAGTTGTAGCCTATAATATATAATTTGGTTTCCATATCATGTAGCCGTGGAAAGCAATAGATAGCTTCAGAACAAAAATTGCACCTAGAGATGACAAAAATAAATACTAACAACTTCCTCGAATTTTATTGGATACCAATAAGCTCCGAGAGATTTCATATTTACAAGCATGAGTTGCGTTGTTTACGAAATGTTTTTTAAACATTTAATGTTTACAAATCAAATTTTGTTATCTACAAATTCTTAAATGTTGAATTTATTAAGGCTCATTAACATATTAATTGAAATTTGAAATATCCATTTACATTTAATTTTTTAATTTAGGATTTATAAAGAATTTTTTAAAAAAGTAATTAACTAAAATTAAAAATGTTCCTATAAAATCAGCAATGGTCGCCTTGCTCCTTCCGATTCCATCATGCTCAGCTCCTTCAAAAAGTCATCACCCTTCTAAATTCTAATCGCCGCCCACGCCCATGTCTGAAGTGACACCTAAACCCCTTTGACGTGTCAGTAGTTGGGGAGGTCCGCGAGCATGTAATTATAAATTTGTCTAAAGTCTAATTAAGAAGAAACTCCTAATAAAATTAGGACCTTTTGGACAGGAAAGGGATTTTGTTTGAAAAAATTAGCAACTAAAACATCACAAAGTAACGTGAGCAATAGAACAACTGCATGATTCTAAAAATTTAAAAGTCGCATAATTCTTGGAAATCGTACAATTTTTTCGGCCTGAACAGAGTTAGAGTTGGATCAATCAAAATGTAGTTTTTCTGTAAGAAAATATTTAAACTCTAAAATGCATTTGGATTTTTTTTGTAATTTTTATCTGTAAGTTAATCTTCTGAACTACGTATTTAGTCATAAATATAAAACTTTTTTTATAGTTTAATTTATACTATAAAAAAGATATTATATTTAAGGTTGAAGGAATATTTATATCCACCAATCACCTGTGGATGGTTGGATTCCAATGTTTTGTGTAAGTCACATTATTTGTAAATTCTAAATAAAGCATAGCTGGTTATAATCCTCAAGCAGTGCTGGATAAATATTGTTTAATTTCTAATTTGTGCATTTGATATCATTTACCATATTCGATTCTTAATATAAAACATATTTCATTAATTTAAATATATTAAAATTTTGATTTAATTATTTATAATAAAAATATGTTGATTTTTCTAAAATATCATTTTAATCATAATTACTCTTGAATGTAAATCTACTTCATATGTATAATAAGATAATTTAAAAAATAAATTATAATTTTTGGATAAATTGATATTTTATATTTCAAATTAAATCTAACCTGCAATAGGTAATAGGTAATTAGGTAATGCTATAAAAAGAAAATCACCTCGCACTCGCTGTCGTTTTTATTCGCCGGATGAAAAGCTTTTATGTGAAATCACAACCGAGGTTACATTCAACAACTTTGATTTTTTTTCCTGGCATAAGAAACGACAATTTTTTAAGGGAATTAATTATAAGAAAAGCATTATTTATAAATTATTTAAATTTAAAAAAAAAAGGTGGCAATTATTGTTAATTTATTTTGAAAAGGGTCCGTACAGGGGTCACCAGTTGGCTTTGGCCTCCACTCCACCTCTCCACCCCACAAGCCTAATCGCCTTCCCACCAAACCCTTGGAGGAGATTCCCATGCTCCCTTTCGCTTTTTCTGGATTGATTATCATTTTCTTTTGCCCCATTCTGATTTCCTCTCCTTTTCTCTTCTACCTTTTCTTCTATAAATTGCTCCCTTAAGCCTCTCTGCAACATCCCCTTCTCCTCGTTTTCCTCTCCCCGCCTTTCAAGCCTAAGCCTTTTGTTCGCTGTATTTCTGCTCTCCTGAAATTCCTTTTGGGTTTTGACCTGAAACGCGCTATATTTTAAATCTCTGGGACCATCGTTTTGCAGAAATCGGAGGCCAACTGCAGTCGGTTCTCTCTGCCAAAGGAAGTTCTTCCCATGTTTCTATACGCTGATTTTTCGGTTTTTAACATTTGAGACTCATGTCTCCAGTCGTCAGTGAAATACTTCGTTCCGGGTTTATGATAAATTCTTCTCTGAGGCGCAGGACCCACTTAGTTCAGTCCTTCTCTGTTGTGTTCCTCTACTGGTTCTATGTGTTTTCATGAATCTCTGAACATCATCGCGGTTCTGTACTATATGGTTGTTTAAATATTATCGTTAACGTTAAAATTAGCTCTGTGTCATTAGTGTTTTCGGGTCCTGCCCTTGCGGCTTTAAGATTTCAAAGCTAGTTTTTGGTCTCTCTGTTAGTAGCCAAGTAATTTCTGAAAAAATCAGTCTTTGGTGCACATATCATATCTCATGGACTCGCCCAGTGGAAATTCCTCCATGTCCACCAAATTTCAGAGCTCTGGGTCTGAAGAGGACTTGCAGGCTTTGATGGATCAGAGAAAAAGGAAGAGAATGCAATCGAATCGGGAATCGGCAAAGCGATCCCGCATGCGAAAGCAGAAGCACCTGGACGATCTGATGGGCCAGGTGAGTGAGCTTAAAAAGGAGAATAGCGAAATCCTCACGAGCATAAACATCACCACGCAGCACTATGTGAAAGTTGAGGCTGAAAACTCCGTATTGAGGGCTCGAATGGCAGAGCTCAGCCACAGGCTCCAATCGCTGAACGACATCCTCAGTTACATCAACACCAGCACGGGGGTGTATGAAGCCGATTGCTACTCAATGAGAGCAGATAACTTTATGAACCCCATGGACACGCCCTTGCTTAACCAGCCCATTGTGGCTTCTGCAGACTTTTTTCAGTGGTGAGATGAATGATCGTCTCCACCGCCTTGTCGTTCAGAACCTCGGAATATCTCCAATTCTTGCTTTTCTTATGTCGGTGTTAACGAGCGGAGAAGATTTGAACCTTTTGGGCACTCCAGATTCTTCAGTCCTGTGTTGTATCATGTCAGGTGTAATGTGTCTAATTCGTTGTCGGAATGGAAGATAAGCAGAAGGTAGTGGTTGGTGGTGTTGGTCATGGCAGGTGGGGATCTCAGTAAAGATTATTTCTGGGAAAAAGAAATTAGGCCAGGGCTTTAAGTGCAGTGTATGTGTTTTTCTTTCTTTCTTTTTCCTTCTTTCAAGTAATATCTATGTATGGATTGATGCCGATGGGCTTTTCGATGTAAAAATGGTTATTATCAATTGTCATTGTCATATTATGTCCATATTTTTCAAGCTCGCTTTTTAGTTTTTACTCCCGTTGGGCCCGTAATGCGTTCCTTCCCTTCAGTTTGCAGTTTTGATGACTCCGCGACTCCGAATATATATGATTACTTTGTATGATTATTATATCATCTCAAAACAATACTCGCTCCGTTTTTTATTATAAGAGACATTTGATGCTTATGACATGTTTCTATATATAAGAGACACTTACAAGTTGTCTCTACTTTTTTGTGTTGATTTACTATTTTACCCATATTTATTATCTCCAACTCACACACTCTCTCCCTCCCACTTCTCTTTCTTTTAATAATTTAATTGTTCTCTCTCACGCTCTCTCTCTTTATTAATGAGGGCACGTTTGGAAAAAAATTATACTTTTTACACATTAATTGTTCTTAACTAATTTTAGCTGTTTTTTTTATCAACATATTTCGGTTATTTGTCTCTTATAATAAGGAACGGAGGGAATACATTATCAAGGAAGGTTGGTCTATTACTCTGTTTGCTTGTGGGGGCACACCGACTATTGGATATGCGGTGAAGAACCAAAAATAAGTGCGAGTTTTATAGATTAAGAAGATAATATTCAGAGAATTTCTTAGACGAGGGCTTTTTTTTTGGCCGACTTCTGTGATGGGTCTGACTTAATTTGAAAGTGTAAGTGAATATCAACGATACCAGATATTTATAATGTATGTAAAAAATGATGATAATAATGATGAAATGCATAGCAAAAGCTTACCCAAAAGAGAAAAAAGAAATGGCGAGCAAAAAGGCAGCACTGAAAGAAACGAGAAACCAAAGTGGGGGGCCGCAACAGGTTGCATCCGTGCTGACGTCACGAGGGGAGCAGTGGGGGTGATGGCAGGGTAGTGGTAGTGGCGTTGTGCAGCAATAGAACGGATGCCGCCGCCGCCACACTGAGCCCGAAGTTTCAAGAAGCAGCGCCCATGTGCCACGGAGGAAACAGCCCAACCCGTAACAGAATTTTAGAAATGAAGTGAGACATTATTATAATTCCTGTCTTTCTAGTTTAATTACAACATTTACTTGTATGTTTATGCCATCTCCTGCGTCAGCATTGTTCTTCTACTTCAGAAGGGGTTAGGGAGCCCATGCGAACGTGTTAAACGGCACATGGCAACAATGATAGGAGCATCATCATCATCATCATCATATTATAAAAATAAAAGACCAAGCAGGGGGAAAAAGGGCCGCAACAAGACTCTTTTTCTCGAGGAGGCCCAGTGAGGGGTAAGCCCAACTTAATTTCTCCTGGACTACTTAATTTCGCCAGCATCTCACCCCGACAACCAAATCATGGTTTCTAACGAACGACTTCCATTACCTCCGCCTGAATTTCAAAAGACATCATAGAATCCGTCAAACCAAACGGAGTTTATTTAGTCTCCACATTTACTATCCCCGGCATTGATTATTAGCTTCATAAACTTTTCCTAATATTCCTATTTACTTTTTTTCCCCCCTATGCAGCGAAGTGGCCGGCAATTCTTGTCGTGTTCCGCTTATCCTACTAATTAATTGCGTGGGACGGAAATATCCCCCGTCAAAACTGATGCACGCCAGCAGCCCCAGAAAATCAAAATTACAACTATTTACGACCGCCCATCTCTCGCATTTGTTTGTTATATTGAAAATGTTTTCATATATATATATATATATATATATATGTTATGAATGATTAATAATTACTCCATCGAGAAGAGAAGAGGAAGACGTGTTGGATTATCTCCGTCCTCATTAAGTTCGTTATCTGTCTTTCTCGGAAATTGATGGATCCTTGAAGAGCTGGAACTACTCTGTAGGGACTAGCTGGGCGGCGCCCTTGGATGCATTGCTATAGGATGTCCCCCAAGGGAAACATTTCCAGCCCGTTTGGCCAAGTGTGTGGAGGGTAATAAGTAGTTTTTTTTCAAGCATAAACACTGTTTCGTTTTGTGATTAGGCAATTTAGTTTTTGTATGAAAAGTTATAATAAAATATAAGCTAAAATTAACAGTCTATGACTTATAACTCATGACTTATAACTTTTGAAACATGAAGGGAAAAAAAATTAGGAAATTTATTACCTCATTTGGTTCTTATTATGAACCTCAAATACCTAATTTATAGATAACAAAAAATCAGTTAAAATTAGTTGAAAGTAATAAATAAGTTAGAAATATACTTTTGTTTTTAAAATATGCTTCTAGAAATATACTTTTATTTTCAAATATGTCCTTATAATAAAAAAAATATATGAAATTAACAGGAGCTTATAAATAATTTGGTAAAATTATTTTTTTAAAAATATTTCATTATTTATTAAAACTCAGCCATTTTGATAATTTTATAAAAAGCTTATTTTTACTTAATTATAATTCAAACAACTTTTTACCGATATCACTTTTATAAACTAACTTTTTTAAATTCCAATTCAAACACAAATCAGCTTATCTGATTTAACCTTTATCAAATTTTACTTTTTCAAAAATCAAATTAATAATAAACTACTTTTTCAATCGTTAATCTAAACAGACCTTTTATTGTACCCTTAGTTTAGCGGGTCTTAAGGTACAATACCATGCATTATTTTATTTTAGATCAAACATCTTGCTTATGCCGTAGAAGTGTGTGGTTACATTGTTGCAATTTGCTCTAATTAACATCAACGGCTCAACACGATCCTCACCAAAAATTGATGCTCCTTCTGTTTAAAGTTATAAAGTATTTTCAAATAACTTACACTCCTAATAAATCAGTTAATGACGTCATAAAAAAGAAATCTAAAAATGTATGTCTCATTTTTTATTTCACACAAAATGGCATGTAGTTTTAAAACAGACGGAGATATTTGTGTGTATCAACGTACTTAAGCTGCTATAATCAAACTTCAATCCTTCTGGCCGATTAACTAGGCAGCCATGTTCTCTCAAAACTCGTGTGCTCATTTTTTTCACATTCTCATGGCTGTTTAGTTAATTTATTTTTCAAATCCGTTATTTCATTGTGATTGACATGGAACAGAACGTTATAAGGACGGTTGGCTTAGGAGTTCTTTCATGGACGATAACATCTCTCACATCAAGAAGGATCTTTTCCGATTACTCGTTCGAGTTCTCCAAACGCATTGTCCCCCCATGCATTTTTAGCTGTAACATTGGCTTCGCTCTCTGTCCAAGGCGGGAATTGTCCACGCTGTCCAGTGGCTCCAACGTCTTCCCATGCGATGTAACGCACCGCTCATGTTTTGCCCAAAATACACAAAGGCTCGCTGCCCAGAACTGTCCAAAGGTGTCCACAAAAGTCTTGGGTAAGTCTGGAACTCTCTAGAAATGTGTGGAGCTTGTTAGGGAAGCTTGGAAGGTTCCAGAATACTATAGATAATTGTAGAGACACCTAACCCCTTTGTAAATATCTAGATATTTTTGTAGAGTATTCTAGATACGACATTGTAACCGTCGGATCAAGTAGATCTTAGCCGTCCATTGAGGAGGTGGAGAACTATAAATACCCCCTCCCCCTCATTCATTTGACACACTCAAGAAAGTGAGAGTGTTGTAAGTACTTTGAGAGATCAATACAAAGTTCTTTTTTTGAGTCTCCTGTTCCTTCGTGTTCCTTCGTGAGTAGGCTGACTAGCAACTTAAGGCAAGAAGTTTGCTAGGCCGCACGGTTCGTTGGAATTACGACCAAGTCCGTGACAGTTGGTATCAGAGCCAAGGTTTGAAGATCGTTGGAACATAGAGGTAGATAGAAGGCGGAAGCGAGACTATCAATATGTCCGAGGGAGTCAAGAAGAAATCTAAATCCCAGAGATCTAGCTCAAGGGAAACCATGGAGGGTTTTGAGACACGGCTAGCCAAGGTGGAGCTTGCAATAGCCGACGGGGAGGAGAAGTTCGAGGAGATGGGGCAAAGCATGGACGAATTCCGTGAGGAGATGCAAGCCGCCATGAACAAAGTCCTCGCCCAATGTCTCGACAACATGAAGGCCATGGAAGAGTCTCACAGGGATGAGGTTTCTTCGATTCGTGAAGAACTCGGGAGGGTCTCGCGCAAGTTGGAGAGTGCTGAAGAGGAGCTCATCTTGTGCAAGAAGGCTCTTGCACAAGAAAGTCCGTCAACGTCTGATGTAAGGACTACATCCTCTAAAGTAGATGTTCCACGACCTAAGGCTTTTAAAGGGACAAGAAATGCGAAGGAACTAGATAATTTCCTATGGAGTATGGAGCAATATTTCCGAGCGAACGTCGTTACCGACGATGCACTTAAGGTTAGCACGGCATGTCTCTACCTCGAGGACACCGCTATGGTATGGTGGAGGAGGAGACAAGGGGACATAGAGAAAGGCACTTGCACCATAGACACTTGGGCTGAATTCAAGGGTGAGCTCAAGAAGCAATTTTATCCTAGCAATGTTGAAGAAGAGGCCAGGGGTAGATTAAGGCGTCTTCAACACAAGGGAAGCATTCGCGAGTATGTGAAGGAATTCACCGAGGTACTGCTTGAGATCCCTGACTATCCTGATAAAGAAGCTTTCTTTGCCTTTATGGATGGATTGCAACAGTGGGCTAAACTTGAGATCCAGAGACGTGGTGCTCAAGACTTGACCACCGCTATCTCCATTGCTGAGTCCCTTATTGAGTTCAAGAAACCCGAGAAGCCAAAGCTGAAAGACAAGGGCGGCAAGGGAAAGAGTGGGGGAGAGCATCACCGAGGCAAGGAGACCACGGACAAGTCGAAGGGCCCAAGGAGTACAAAGCTGGAGAAAGGCCATCACTTAAATGCTTCTTTTGTGAAGGACTACATAAAGCCAGGGATTGCCCAAAGAAGGCTAAACTTTCAGCATTGATCGAGGAAAGGGAGGAACGGGAACGAGAAGAGGAGAAAGTAGGATCCCTACAACTCCTCAATGCCATTAAGGCAAAGGTGGAGATGCCCAAGTCCGGAAGGAAGGGACGGTTATTTGTAGAAACCGAGATTGGAGGACACACCGTCAAAGCACTT